GCCAAAGTTTATTTATGTAGCGCTTTTTACAACAGGTGTTGTCACAAAGCAGCTTTACAGAAAAATATGTGTCTGAGCCCCCATGAGCGTCGCCAGTGGAGACAGTGGCAAGGAAAAACTCCCTCAGAGCAAGAGGAAGAAACACTGAGAGGAACCAAGACTCAAAAGGGGAACCCATCCTCCTCTGGACCACACCGGAGAACAAACAGCGTTAGTATAAAATATAATACAAAACAGGGAAAAACAGGTGGAGCGATGGTTAATTAGATAGTTTGAGTTTATGCAGCAGCAGCAGGAGGGTCAGTTCATGAAGGTGAGGTTTGCACAGTGTTGTACAGTGTGAAGCTCCATGGTGGTCGAAATGGTGCAGATCAGCCAACGGAGATGGAGCTCTGGTGGCTCCCATGTGGTGACTCAGGCATACGTCGCTCAGGGGCTCAAATGGATGGAGGGAGGGAGAGAGAGAGAGAGAGAGAGAGAGATTGATTGATTTTAGAGAGAGAGAGAGAAGGAAAGAGAGAAATAGACCATTCATTGAAAAGTGGACCTCTGATGTTCTAAGGGTCTCCACCGTTGTGCTCTGTGGATAACAAAAATCTTTCAAACCTGATGTATTTTCCTCCAATTTTTACTGGATCTTTCGAATTATGTGGCTGCTAAACAGTAAAACATGAATAATGCTACATACATGCTACAAGCAAGCTAACATTCCTGTGCACTGAAATGATGTTGCATGAAAAGTATATTTACTATTAAATCTGCTATTAAACACTGTTATATACCAACAACAGCTACTCAAACTGCTACAGCAGTGCATCTTAGCAACGATGTTCAAATATGCCATTGATTTTCTCCATAGAGAAATCTGCCTAAATCAGTGTTCGGCAACGTGCGGCTCCGGAGCTCTTTTACTGCCCTGTTGAGGCTCCACAGCTGAATCAGATTAGTAGGTAATAATAAAATAATCCTCCTTTACAGTAAAATAAAGCTCTGCTGATCGTTCAACACAGTTTAACAATAAATGGTCTTAAACTCTGGAGTTAATGTAGAACTGCTAATTCACCTTTAACCCTGAAGATCAGCGCAGACTGCTGGTCACCATAGCAACGTAGACAGGAATCTGGCCTAGCTAGTTGCTAATGAAAAGGCAAAGAGAGAGATTTAAGACGAACATCGATAATTTGGAGACGAATGGATTGCATTTATGATCAGACCAGCTGGTTTCCTGATACGTTTAATCTGCAATGACAAACAGTCATGAAGCTGAACTGAACTTTCCCGTTCCACCGTTTCAGCGGAAACAGAAAAATTCAAACAAGAAGCTGGTGAATGAGAAGCGACTTCAGCCTCGTAAAAAGTCGAGGAGAGACATTTTACGAGAAAATTATTCTACTTTTGAGGAAAAGTTTCCTGCTGGAGATGTGAGAAACCCCCCTATATCTGAGCTGAAGCTTAAAGCAGAGCAAAGTAAGTCTGTGTTTTCTTCTATGTTTTTGTAGTCTATACTAGGACATCAGCACATACTAAAACACATTTACAGCCATGATGGAAAAATGGATATAAAATGTTGTGGCTCTCAAGGTGATTTGATTTTTGCTGAAAGGGCAAAATGGCCCTTCAGCAAAATTTGGGTTGCGACCCCTGGACTAGACCCAGAGTTCCTAAATGGTCATGATGTTGACCAAAGAGCTCTGTTTGACGTATCTTAAGAAAACAGTGTGTAGTACTACTATGTTTATGTAAGCTTGAGCTTCAGATGGAAGTTCTCTGTCTTGCAGCTGAAGTCATCCTCAGTGCTACATGCATGCTAACAGCTATAGAACTGAAAGTGTTTTTGCTCAAATTTTCAAGTCTTACTTGACTCTACACATGATACTAAGTGTATACATTTGCAGGAGTGTGCAGGTATCATTTCATGCCTGTGCAAGCTAGCAGGTGAGATAGCTAACTTAGCAGCAGCTACTGGTCTAGATGACCGAAGTGAGGTTAATCTGTACTACTAGAATGAAAAGAAAGAGGCCAAATATCTGTCTCTTCTTGAAACTCAGAAAAGCAAGAGTTGGAGTTTGTCTTATAAAGCAGTTTGTAAAGATAGTTACTGTTCACTTTGTTAATGTGGAATTTAATAGATTTACTACAGACTTACTTTAGCCGGACAGTGATGAAAGCGGTCAGATACACACTCAGATAACATGGGGGGCAGGAAAAGAGAGTCTCTATAATGGTAAGAATTACATACACCGATCACCTCGTTTCTACGCTCATTGTCCATTTTATCAGCTCCACTTACTATATAGGTGCACTTTGTAGTTCTACAGTTACAGACTGTAGTCCATCTGTTTCTCTGATACTTTGTTAGCCCCCTTTTACCCTGTTCTTCAGTGGTCAGGACCCCCATGGACCCTCACAGAGCAGGTACTATTTGGGTGGTGGATCATTCTCAGCACTGCAGTAACACTGACGTGGTGGTGGTGTGTTAGTGTGTGTTGTGCTGGTCTGAGTGGATCAGACACAGCAGTGCTACTGGAGTTTTTAAACACTATGTCCACTCACTGTCCACTCTATTAGACACTCCTATCTTGTCAGTCCACCTTGTAGATGTAAAGTCAGAGACGATAGCTCATCTGCTGCTGCACAGTTTGTGTTGGTCATCCTCTAGTCCTTCATCAGTGGTCACAGGACGCTGCCCACAGGACGCTGTTGGCTGGATATGAGGTGTTTAAAAACTCCAGCAGCACTGCTGTGTCTGATCCACTCAGGCCAGCGCAACACACACTAACACACCACCACCACATCAGTGGTATAATATAAGAACAATATAATTCTTTATTCACTTTCAATTCAGCAGTTAAAGCTTAATTCATGTACTTGTGTATAAAATAATTAAATATATTTTTTGGACTCAAAACTAGACTGAAATTTTCTTTGCTTCTTTCTTTCATTCTGCTGAAATGCAGAACATCATGCAGTGGATAGTCTGGCTCTGCGTTGCCCACAGAGATATTCCTCACTGAAATCAGGATAAGGAACTGTCTGGTCAGTGTGATTAGTGGATCCTGATTGGATGAGTGACGTCAGTGTTATGGATCAGTGCGTCCTGCTCAATTACTGAAGAAGTTTGTGAAGTTAACTTGATTTCCTCCTTGCGGCCTCCTTTATCTACGTCTTGCTCTTCATCTTCCTCTTCCTCATCTTTATTTCATCGTATTCCTCTTCTTTAAAAACTGTTTTTGCTTGGATTCAGAGAAATTGATTTGCGTGTAAACAACATGCTCCCATGGGCGAAAACTGTCAGCAGTTAGAAAGTAACTTATTAATTAGCTACAAAGCAGCACTGACAGAGACTAATGACATCCCGGTCCCAGGGGGTTCGAGTGGAATGTCATTTTATAATGCTCAGCGGGCCTAATAAGCAAAACATTATGTGCAGGTCTTTGAGCATGCTCCTGTTTAAAAAGAAAAATAAGCTTTTCAGTAGGGATACAAACTGTTGCTCTTGCTATGTTCAGACCCTCAGACAGTTGGGGTATTAAGGTTTTAATGTACAGTAACATGATGGCATTAAAGTAAATCATCACTTATGAATTTGAAAGAGTTTGTTCTGTGGAACTTTAAGAGTAATTTCAGTCCAGTTCTGGATAGATTTGTAGTTTCAGTTATTTGTTTTCTGTATTTAGGTGTTTGGTGTCAGTCATTAAATATGGCTAGTTTAGGAGTGATGAGAATGAACCTCTCTCTTTTATCGGTGGACTTCATCCAGTCAGACTGACTTATCACACTCCATTTACCGACAGTGTTATGGTTCCAGTATTTCATTATGATCATCTACATCATCAGCTATCAATGGTAATTTGTGTGAAGTCTTGTTTAGGATACCTTAGCAAAGGAAACTGGTCCACATGTGCAGTGAGTGCCGCATTATGCAAGTCATTACTGAAACAGGCAATGAAACAAGTACCCAAACCTTATGTATCTAAAATACATTTTAATCTTGCTCAGATTCACAATTGTTACAATTTGTAAGTCATTGATTGTACCTCCCTCTTTTGCTTCAGACATTCTGTACAACAGCATCATGTAAAGTGGTTTACATCAAGGCACAAGACACGTCCATATTCAGGGAAGCCTTTTTTGAGGCACTGCTTTAATTTCATCCCCACAATACTGCGATGTGCTGAGGAGACACAGGAGAGGAAACATAGGCCAAACTGTACTGTACACACTATGTGCTCTCGGCCAAAAGAAAAGAACGAACGATCGCTCTCCCTCCACTTTCAGATGAGCGGAAGGATGAGCGTGCTCACTTCTGAATGGATGCAACTGTTTTTTTTTTACTTTTTTCGTGAGAGCAGAAATGAATGGTTTGAGAATGAGCTGATTGGTTGGGTTGGGTTCTACAGGTCAGTGCAGTCAACAGGAGTCCATTGTGGCAGAGCGAGGAATGTCCATTCCCAGGGGTCTCGATGCAGATGGGATGGGGTTTTCTCTCTTGACCATGGCCAGAGCAGAGCTATGGAAGTAAAGATTGGTGACCTGCCACAATATGAGCAATTACCATGCAAATTATTAACGAATGTGAAGTTTTTCTGGCTAAATTGAGGACCTTTCTCACCATATTGCTAGAGTCCACCCAAACGTCTACTCCTGACTAAGTCTCCTTCGTCGGCCGAAAGCGTGGGATCCCACGTTGGTGGGGACGAACTTGCTGTTTCCAATCCCACCTGAGCGGCTCAGGAAATCTGCCAGGCGGTGGGTCACACATGTGGCTGTGTTACAAGCTCGCTTCTGTGCTGTAACACTAGAGGAAAAAAGGAGGGAGAGATCACGTCAACTACCAGGACTCAAACCAACAATATGGATATGTTCAAATATATTTAACTTCATTTCTGAAAAACATACTTAGAGTGCACAGTGACTTTGATTTCTTACCTATAAGTACAATGCATTGTGAAATTTGTCAATTGCGAAAAAGCTCAGTAGACAAATGCTTCTTTGTAAAAATAGGTTTATTAAATGAGAGTCAAGTCAAAGGAGAGGCATGTTGCACTACTGTATCAGAGCTCATTACCGAGAGCTGCCCAGGTGGGTTGTGTTTGATTAAATGGTTTGAAACTAGAGAGATACGAAGGTTCAAAAAGACTAGAATCATGAAGGTTAAACAGTCTATCCTGTCACTCTGCCAAAGAAGGTTCGAAATGAAAAAGGAATGGGTTTTGTCAAATCACTCAGGCAAGCCATAAGATCCACATGCATTGAGCACTCAAATAATCAGGACCAAGCCAGCAGGTGGGCGTTTAGACACGATCGATTGCCTCTCTGTAACCGGCGAACACGCCGCCGGCCTCAGCGCTGCGCTTCTTGCCCGGGGTCCCTGCTCCCACATTGGTGCGAGGGTACGTCTGCAGCTTGTGCAGCTCCTGCGACAGCTTGCCCAGCACGCAGGTGCTGAGGTTGGAGCAGCGCTTGGACATTGGTCTAGCCAGGCTGTTAGAGGAGAGATCACATGCACAACTCACAGTAACACAGGCATGCAAAACTTCACACTTTGTTCTGTACAAAAACAGTAAGATGCATATCAAACCAAGCATGCTTCCTTTCGACATAGAGTTACCTTCATAGTCGTACTTGCTGTCACTACAGTAATGGTACAGTAATGTTATCTGGCTAATTCGACATTCCTACAATTAACAGATCATGCAAAATATAATCTCCTTTTGCAGTCTTTCAGAGATCATGCTGTCCTCCATGCCATTTGGTATTTCTGATCACATGCTTTGCAGGCAAAAGCCCTTATAAACCACATGGGTAAATAAAATTCCATGCAAAAAGCTAGAATGGCAGAGAACACGTTGCATGAATCCATTCCCGCTATGAAAACCGATGAGTGGTAGGTCTTGGCTGCACATACCTCCCTTCTAAAAAGCATTGGCACCCCTTACAGCTATGCGGAATTGCTCTCATGTAGAAGCCTTTTAAGATCATTCACTTCTTAAACGTGAGAGAGAAAATCAGTGCAGTATCCTCCAAATAATTATTATCCTGCTTTTCTTCTCATTACAGATTGTTGCTGACACTTCAGTCAGCCTTCGGAACGGACACCTACCTGTTCTCTTCAGTTTCTTGTTGATCTAGGTCTTCCGCAGTCATCTGCACAAACTCTTTGATGATTGCGTTTAGTAACCGTCTTGCCTCATAGTCAGTGAGTGTAGCCTCGTCTTGCGAGGGCTCCAGAGCAGGCCTGAAAACACAGTCTTGAGTGATTACCTTTTCCCACAATGGATCATGAACAAAAAGGACGGTCTACGGTAAACGCTGCTTTACATCATGTCAAAAGAGGTTTCTGCTCCCCGCAAGAAAGTCTGATCATAATCAAAACAATCTGCTAAGAGCGTGCCACTTAAAAGCTGTCCGCTTGCCAAGTTTAGATTTATCACCCGATCGATACCGCCGTAAGCGGAGTGGGTTTGGCCGGGATTCATCTGATGTAATCAGAAGACTCATGCTCCCTGATACTGCAACCTCCAATAAAATCATCCGCACACTTACGGTCCAACCTCGTAATTATGTTCATAAAAAAATGAACTTCACTTAAAATTTTGATTTACTAGTGATATGAGATTTTTCCTCAGTGTTATCAAACAGTCTAAAATTCTATCAAAATTAGTGTAGACCATAGACGACAAAGATCGGGATCAGTGCCTCACCTGGACGGAGCTGCGTTTGAGCAGTACATCTGACAAATGATCAAAGCGTAGGCAACAAGGAAAGCGGAAATCTTCAGCATAACCATGATCCCCTGTAGCAAAGAACGTATTTTGAGATACAGAAGCTTTTTCTATGAGAATGAAAAACATTTTGAATTTTCCTGTTCATATTTACTGTCTACATCTACCAGTTTTCTCTAAAAACTGATCCTTTTGCTGCCGCACCAGCCATTCTCATACCTCCATCCCTCGTCTATCACCCCTTTCCATTTCTTACTGTATGTTTTCAAAATGGTCATCCCGTCTAACTCAGTTGAAACCATGAGACCTCATTTTTCCCTCCTGGAGAAAAAGCCCAAAATAAACGAGACCTAAGCCTTACAAATCCCTACAGGTTCTCTACATGTTCTCATATCGGCTCCAGTTTGTTCAGTCCGTACTGTGATCTCCTGCTGCCATCAGCCTGTAAGTAAAGTATTAGAGATATTAGCAGGATTACAGGGGCTCCTGACTGCGCCTCCCGTGGGACCCTGTGCATTAGTGTAATGAGCTGTTGCTCCGCACCCCCATCCAGCAGCGAGGAGCATTCCAAGTCTCCTTGAAAATCCACCGAGCCTGCATTTCTCCACTCCTGCATGCTCAGTGAACTATATAAACCACCTATTTCCTTTCAATATAATTCATAATAAAGGTTTTCTTTTAAAAATCATAAGATTTCCCCCAGTCGTCTTCCACTCTGAAGATGAGTGGAATCACCTTCTTTTGGAGATAGAAAAATCCTCGACTTACCTTGTGATGTTATAGCTTGCTGAAAGTAGAAAAGGACGGTTGCAAAGCAGAACGGTTAATTCAACGTGATGAAATTTAGAGTCTGTTGCATTTAGCTGCAGGACAGCTGCCTATATACCCACCATGAGGGTCCCACTATTGACAGCGTGGGTGTTTAATGATCTTCCGTGGGCCAACCAGAGAGTTCTGCTTCAGCGTCCAGCCAATCAGAGAGGCCTCCATTCTGGAAAGTGATGAAGAGTATGTCACAGCAATGACGTCATTCTTCAGTCACAAACTGCTCCATTCACAAAATTTCACCAATGATCAGCAATGTTCCACCTCACAAGGTAATGTTCTGAAGAATACATAATCTGTCCTTCCATATAAATCAGCAAGATATAAACAGCTGGAACATTAGTACTTTTACTCAGTTATATCAAGCATCATTTTTAAGAACTTTTTTCTTTGTTTATAAACATGTTAGTACATGTTTTGTATTGCACATCTACTTTCCACAGGTGGTCATTATGCTGCCTTTATTCTTAACCTTTACATAAATTCAAATCAGTGAGATAAAAACTGATGAGTAGAGCAGGAAAGGTTTACATCGATCTAGTGAAAGTCATAATGCGAAAGCTGCAGGAACAATCAGATTTGCTCGTACTGTGTGTATCCAGTAACAATGTGCCCAGTCGATCGGCAGTCCTCTCTTCCTTATTTGGGCTTCCGTGGCGATGTGACCCTTAGTGGAAATCAAAGAAAAGGTTGACAATAATGAGCCTTGTATCTGTTTGTCTGATAACTGTTTGTCTTCAAACATCATCCGACTTTCTTTTTCATTACTGGCTGAGACCTCGTAAAGCGTCTCTGCGGAGAGGATGTGTTTGCGTCACATACGAACCCCATTAGTACGGACAAGCCTTTTAGTGCTATCGAACCCAGTGGAGCGCCAATGACTGAAGCAGTAAATCAGGGAGACGTGACGGGAGCGGGGACCCCAACTCGGCCCCGTTATAGACGCAAACTGCACTCGTGTTCTCAAATGGCCCCTTCAGTCTAATGAATTGCCACTTCCGGCGGAGGAGGACCGCACTAAGGCATAGCGCGTCCATAGATCAGCGAAGCTAGCGCAGTCTGCCGGCAAGCCCTGCTGTAACTTTCCATCTGCTGCTTCAAACTTTTCGAGTCAATACAGTAACCTTTCCAATCTGTTCTTGCTCCAACATCTCATGGTGCACCCACCCTTGTGTAAGTTATTTAAAGCGACAGATAATCATTTGCGTTTCAGAGACGACGTGGTACGGATGCTGGATTCATTTCTACCATGTATGTAAGCAACATTTGAAAGCTCTCACAGAATGTCACAGCAAGTCGAAAAATCCCAGTGCTTAAAGCTTGTTGTTTGTCTGCTTGTGGATAAAACACATCATGAGGTAAAAAGAATAAGGTTATGTCTGAAAACAATCAGACGTCTTTATTTTCTCTCCCTGACCACATCAGTCACTCAAATGGACTGTTTGAACACCTGCAGAGCGAGCAGAGCAGGGATTAAGCGAGATCCGTGTAGGTTTCGAGAGGGAAACCAAACACGATCCATAACCCTTGGTGAGACACAGCCTTGCATTAAGTGGAGAGAGGAGAGCGTGCACGGTCCATCCTCGGACATTAAGGAAATGAGATTTAATCACTGAGTGTTAGCCATCAATCAGTGAGTGCACACTGGAGCCTTCCCAATCTCGTCTGTGTGCTTAACTGATCACATGCCCTCCTTTTTTGTAGCCACCATTAAAAACCAATGGGACGTGTTGAAGTGCTCAGGCTTGCCATGATATGCTCGCTTATTACAGGACCGAGAAATGGATGAGTAAAAGACCCCGGCTGATAAGGACATGGGAGTCTTTATGGCCAGCCAAAGCATTTCGTGAGTATGAGATTTTGAATATCGCTCTTGTCAGAAGAAAACCTCGTATCTCCAAAATGGTAACTTTACAGGAGAAGGAAAAAACCTACTTTACTTCTAATGGAAGTCAATGGAACCAGAATTTTTACCAAGTCATGTTGGGCTGTTTCTTTTAGTCCATTCGTCATGAAATTTGCACACAGTATAAAGGGTAACAGGTCTTTTCAAATTATGTTAAAAGCTGAAAAACAAGGTTTTCTTCCGACAGCAGCGTTATGATTGTGTTTAGCACCATAATTCTGTTAGAAAAGTTCTATAATTTTTCTTATTAATTTGTATGTAGCTAAATATCAATTTGGAGACATATCTAAATTATAAACTGATAAACAGCCTCATTATATTGGATTATGCGAAGGCCGGTATGGATCTTTGTATAGCGATCCCTCAGCCAGGCCCTTAAGTCTTTTTGCTTGCATGGTATTGGGAGAAGGATCTAACTAGAAAGCCACAGTGCTAATAAAAGCCATTCCACAACAAACTGGAGAGGAAAAAGGACAGGACTGTACCGGACCGTACTGATCGAATAACAGGAACACTCGCTACAGAGAACCTCATTAGGTAACCACTAAAGGTATTACACAAGGTGGGCTCACACACTTCAGATGATTTTATGATCCAGTTACTTGCAAAGTATTTTTCTGCTACATTTTAAGGCATCCACAATGCACTGAAAATGTTAGCCTAGCAGTAACAGTGGTAAACGCCCTGGTGTTGAATTCTCCATTAAACATCTTTTTCTAAAAATTCTAATGGACTTAAAAATCTCTCTATCTTTGGTGTGTCCAAACTTTTTGTCTTGAGGAGCAAAGGGCAATGGTTTGGTGGGCTGAGGGCCAAAAACACAAAGCAGCATGTAGATAAAGGAGGTAGGTTTCAAATCAAGATTTTAAAACATGTATTTTATAATATTACACTGTTTTGCTACTAAAATACTTTAAAAATACATTTTTAAAACCAAAATAAGAATTTTAAAAGTTAGCTTAATGACCACCTCCTTGTTTCTACACCCATTGTCCATTTTATCAGCTCCACTTACTATATAGGTGCACTTTGTAGTTCTACAGTTACAGACTGTAGTCCATCTGTTTCTCTGATACTTTGTTAGCCCCCTTTTACCCTGTTCTTCAGTGGTCAGGACCCCCATGGACCCTCACAGAGCAGGTACTATTTGGGTGGTGGATCATTCTCAGCACTGCAGTAACACTGACGAGGTGGTAGTGTTTTAGTGTGTGTTGTGCTGGTACGAGTGGATCAGACACAGCAGCGCTGCTGGAGTTTTTAAACACAGCGTCCACGCACTGTCCACTCTATTAGACACTCCTACCTTGTCAGTCCACCTTGTAGATGTAAAGTCAGAGACGGTAGCTCATCTGCTGCTGCACAGTTTGTGTTGGTCATCCTCTAGTCCTTCATCAGTGGTCACAGGACGCTGCCCACAGGACGCTGTTGGCTGGATATTTTTGGTCGGTGGACTATTCTCAGTCCAGCAGCAACACTGAGGTGTTTAAAAACTCCAGCAGCACTGCTGTGTCTGATCCACTCAGACCAGCACAACACACACTAACACACCACCACCATGTCAGTGTTACTGCAGTGCTGAGAATGATCCACCCAAATAATACCTACTCTGTGAGGGTCCATGGGGGTCCTGACCACTGAAGAACAGGGTAAAAGGGGGCTAACAAAGTATCAGAGAAACAGATGGACTACAGTCTGTAACTGTAGAGCTACAAAGTGCACCTATATAGTAAGTGGAGCTGATAAAATGGACAATGAGCGCAGAAACAAGGAGGTGGTCAGAATGTTATGCCTGATCGGTGTATTCTGTCATTGTGTGAGTGGATGAGGTTGAGGTAACTTTCTGGCAAATCAAACATCCTCATAGGCTAACTTTGGCCTGCAGGTCACACTATGGGCAGCCCTGCACTAAATATTTCAGGAGAGACAGTCTAGATTGAGCTTCCTAAAACACTGTGCTGCAATGATCTGTATAAGATGGTAAAGTCCTCTAACAGTTAAGATTCCTTTGTCATGCTTGTGTTAAATTGGGCCTACCTCTGGTTATAAAACCTCCAGGGTGATACTTGACTATATTTGATACTTCCCAGTGGACATGATCTGCAGAATGAGGGCTAAAATTAAATCCAACAGCCAGTGCGTTTATACAGGCTAGTTCATGGTTTGCAGACAACCAGATTTAATGGTTGGTGTCCTGTTGTCCGCTGTGCGCTGCTCATGTTGGAGAACTGCTTAGTATTCTCCTCAGGCACTGCTGACATACTTAACATTGTAGGTCGAAAAAAATGGGGTGTTAGACTCCATGGCTCAGTCTCAATAAAACTTGTGTGTCATGAGTTCTAGAATATCAGGAATTAGCAGAATTTTACCTTATTTGATTCACTAGTAGACATCAGTCCCACATCTGAAACAAGTTCTGCTTTTGGCCAATGGCTCTATTCATATAAGCATAATCTAGTAAACTGGAATTAACCCTCACCATTATACACGGTTAAGGTTATAGCCTTAGAGGACGGGTCTGCTTGGCAACTGGAAATTCACTACTACGAACTGGAGAGTATGAAAGCTCCAGTTTATGATGTTGGTCCACTTATGAAAGTCAATGTGAATCGGAAATCGTAACACATTCTGTTCTGTGACGTATTTCCAATAGTCTTGAGATCTAGCTGAGTGCACTGAGAGGAGGAAATGCAACATGATATTACTGGTTAAAATTATTTTTCCCACCTGCTGGTGCACAGAGATGCAATCAAAGACCAGAAGACAATATAAGGGTGAGGAACAGTTGTTATATTTTGATCAAACAGGAGACACAAAACAAGCTTTTACAGAAAAACAAGTTTTTTAAAAGATATGGCATGATGAATTGTGCATGATATCACGAGGGACATGAACTAACAAGGTTTAAATGGTGACAAAGAAGTGAATAAGTAAGAATGAGTGAATTAATCATTGAAAAAATTAATGGCAGTGTATGTTTTTACCTAAATAACCAGCCTAACTAGAATTTGAAAGCCTAATATTTTTGCTCTAATGTCTTAACACCACCACAAATACAATGTCAGACTAATATAAAAACTATTTCAGATAAAGATGTAAATGTGGATACACTGTAATCCCGCATTTTGTTTTAACTCAAATAAATTAAGTCTGTTGTACATAAAACTCAGTATATCCCACACATTGCTCAACAATTCTAAGTTAAGGGAACGTTTTTTGATGATTTTGTACACTCAAATGGCATTTTTGAGTTGAATTAACTTATTGCTATTTAGCCTGTTGCTATAGCAACTTTGAAATCCTACATTCAAAAAATGACGACATTTCTGTTGGTTTTAATCGTTTCTTTCTCACTAAAGTTGCTGAACAAATGTGTGAAACTGAGTGAAGCTAAGTAAGCTGTGAAATACAGTTACACGTTTGTTTTGTTAACGCGATCTTGTTAGATTAAACGTATATTTCTTTCCCATTGGCTCCTGGCTCGTCTATTTGCATACTGAGTGTTTCTTTCCATTTGTTTTACTCACCGTCAGTGTCCTTCATTCCACCCAGGCTGCCTTTCCTCAAACATATGTGTTCTATATATGCTTTATTCAGCAGCCTGACATTGTGTTGTTGCCTAAGAGTGAAGATTGTTCTTCCCTTTGCTGATGAATGGGGGTTTGTGTTGGCCAGTGACCATGTTCACAGTAAAGGTTAACCCTTTGGTGTTTGTCAAAGTGGTCATTATCACTTAATTAGGAAAGAATTCTCAATTGCCTAATGAAACGTAGTTAAATTTCAATTTCAAGACGTTAAATATGAATTAAATTAAATAATTAGAGTTTTTATGAGTTGCACAGACATTTGTTTTAGTTAGCCTAACACAAAAATTATAGTTACTCTAACTCGTTTTCATTACACATTACTTAATTTTTTTAAGGCAACCAGTTTCCTCAAATTTCTAAAGTAAATTCAACTTATCTAGGCTTACAGTGTACCGAGTACACAAAAAGCGCCTCATCAGATCTACTTAAAAAATTACTTCATGTGGTGACAAACAATTCAACCAGTTTTATTCAACTTAAAAAACTACGTTGAAAGAATTGTTTATTCCAAGCATTTATTTAGGTTGAATAAAACTATTTAATTAACTTGTTACCACATGAAATCATTTTTAAGTAGATCTAATGAGCCACTTTTTACAGCGTACACTGCTGGGGTCCTGCTGAGCGTTTGTCAAAATGGTAGAATGTTCTTTATTTTTTCGTGTACCTTGGGGGGCCAGAGGAGGGAGGGCTGGGCTCAAAACCATGAGGTCAAAGTTTGCAGTCTAGTTGGGACCCTGCAGAGCGAGATAAATCTGTTTGCCTACCCGTCTCAAATCCCAGTTTTGTGGTTTGAAAGAACATCACATCCACCCTTTTTCATTTCTGTAATAGAGGAAAAACAGAGTCGACGCTGCTTTTCTCTCTTTCATATTTCAGAATAATACTTATTTGCTCAACATTGGGCTTTAATTCTGCATTTTATGAAAAAACCTCCATTCACTGCAGAGAGTTTGTTAAAACTCCCATCACACACTGGCTAATTTTAGCGCTAGCTGTCGACCCACACAGAAATCTGATATACGGCCATGTATGGACATATCATAAAGAGCCAGGCATGTATTTTAAATGATGTGTGCTTATATGTAAGTGTCAAATAATGGTCATATATGCATAACATATCTCTGTTAGAAGAAAACCTCATATCTCCAACATAGTATCTTTACAGGAGAAGGAAAAACCTACTTTACTTTTAATGTAAGTCAATGGAACCAGAATTTTTTCCAAGTAATTTTGGGTCACGACAAAAATGGAGATACGAGGGTTTTCTTCCAACAGCAGTGATATGGATCATACATATATGTCTGATACATGGTTGAGTCTGTTTGCTTTAGAATATTAAATTATTTAAATGTGTCAAGGAGCAATATTTCAATTTGTTATATTTTAATGATTTTATTGCCTGGCTTACAATGTGCATGTTTTTTAAGAGTTTAGTTATACAGCAGCAAATTATATATATATATATATATATATATATATATATATATATATATATATATATATATATATATATATTTAACACATTTAAGTAATTTAATATTCTAAAGCAAACAGATTCAACCATGTATCAGACATGTATGATCCATATCGCTCCTGTTGGAAGAACACCTTGTATCTCTGTTTTTTCAGTTTTTAACATAAATTGCACATTAAAAATGCCTGTTGCCCTATATATATATATATATATATATATATATATATATATATATATATATATATCCATGTATATGAATGAAATATATATCCCATATTTGAAAATGGCAATAGTTGGCTTTCATGTCACATGTATGTCCATATGTATGACAGGATACAGAAGGGGAATCCATACATATTTGAATATATATTTGAAACCCATATGTTAGCCTCTGTTTGGGGATTAAGTTGCATAAACCTTTTTATCTGCGCTTTGATCACAGCCTGTCTGAGCACAGAACAGAGCCCAGCGCAGCACAGAGACCTGCAGAGACTTTAGTCCCGCAAACGCCGAGTAACAGTCAGCGCCACTCATTCAAAGAAACTAATCAAACCTGTGGGTCAATCAATAATAGGTAATGATCCTATGTGATCGTCTGGCCAATCTTAGCTCTGCAGAGGCGGGGGATGGCAAACATGTGCAGCGCTATACTGGCCTCTCACACAGAGCAGCCAGAGAAGTTTTCACAAAGCGCGCAAAGTGTGGAGATAAAGCCAGACATGGAGCCGACTGACAGTCCGCGCTCCCTCCCGGCTCTGTCGTGCGGAAAGGGAGCCTCGTACGTGTGCACCCTGATTTTGACCTGCTTTATTTTGCTGGTGGTTCGGCAGCTGGTGAAGCAGCGCAGACCCCGAGGCTTCCCCCCCGGACCCACTCCTCTGCCTCTCATAGGGAACATCCTCTCCCTCGCCTCAGAGCCGCACGTCTATATGAAGAAGCAGAGTGAAGTCTATGGACAGGTACGGCGCTCCTCTCTGCTCCTCTTACATTCGGTGCTAGTAAAGCCTCAAACAACGAGCCGAGCCGATCAGGGGGAGCAGGGACGGTGATGTACAGGGTTTGTGCAGTTTTTCAGGGCTGTCTGTCCTCCTCACGTCTTTTTTTAAAAACCCACGCAGCTGCCTTTCTACCTGTCTTCATTTTCAGAGAGGCAGACAGGCTGTATGAATCTTTAAATGTGTCAGAGGAGCCTTCGATCAAACCTCCATTGCATTAAGGAGCGCTTAGAGAACAAAGGAGCGTCTCCCGTTGCAGTTCTGGCACGCAAACCGAGCAAGACGTGCTGAGTCAGCACGCCCCACTAAAGAGCTGCCGCCACACTCAACTGTAGCGTCTGCTTATGGTCAAATCCAGCCATTCTGTGAGACACTTTCCATTAGGAGGGGAAGCGATCTGGCACACTCAGAAGTCTGAAGCCTGTGGCTCAATTAATTATTATTATTTTTTTTTCTCTCTTCTCATTTATCTCTAGATCTTTAGTCTGGACCTGGGAGGGATCTCAACGGTCATTCTGAACGGCTATGATGCCATTAAAGAATGTCTTTATCACCAGAGTGAAGTGTTCGCAGACCGACCATCTCTGCCTTTGTTCCAGAAAATGACCAAAATGGGAGGTAAGACTGAAGCTCAACAGCAGACGACCCTTATTTAGAACAAAACCCTGTAGCCCATTATTTCTTTGTGTAACTAAGTCCCAGAAATAGAAGAAACAGAATAACCCCCAGAACTGAAAGTGATCCTGTTAATCAGAGAGGACTGTAAAACATCTACAGCACGAGTGTATCAGCTGGCCTGCCTGGTTCTGAGCCGAGATTTCAGACGCAGACAGAAAGGGCGGGGTGTGAAAGCAGAACTAGAGATGAAAGTTCAGTCTAAAGTCTGACGTAACCAGATTATAAAAATAATTCTGGTCACTGGTGGGAAACCTACGAAATCGCAAAGGTTGATCAAGTAAAGATCACTGCTTAAAGGAAAAGTTCACATTTTCATAACTTTAACAGTTTCCCATCCCGTGTGGATGTAATTGTTGGGACCGTGTTTGTCTCCGAGTTTTGCTTTTAACATACTGCACTGTTAGCTTTGATGATGGGGGTGGGCCAGGACTGCATTTTGGCCAAAATACACTCAGCATCCTGACTAACTGATCTGAGTCACGCACACAGCACCAGGAATGTTTAGACACTGACCCACTGTTTGGCCTCAGACCAAGCAAACATGCGTAAACTCTTCCTTCACTTTAATTCACTTTCCAGGACTTCTCAACTGCAAATACGGACGTGGCTGGATTGAACACCGCAAGCTGGCCGTTAACAGCTTCCGCTACTTCGGCAGCGGAAAAACGATGTTTCAGAGGATCTCGGAAGAGTGCATGTACTTTGTGGATGCTATTGACATGTACGAGGGAAAACCTTTTAACCCCAAGCACCTCGTTACCAACGCCGTCTCAAACGTTACTAACCTTATAATCTTTGGACAGCGCTTTACCTACGACGACCGTGACTTCCAGCACATGATTGAAATCTTCAGTGAGAATGTGGAACTGGCAGCCAGTGCCTGGGCTTTCCTCTACAACGCGTTCCCCTGGCTTGAATACGTGCCCTTTGGGAAACACCAGAGACTCTTCCGAAATGCCAACAAGGTGTATGACTTCCTGCTGCAGATCATCGAACGTTTTTCCCAGGGCAGAGTGCAGCACTCGCCAAAACATTACATCGACGCCTATTTAGACGAGATGGAGCAGAGCGCTAACGACAAGGGCACCTCTTTCTCCAGGGAGAACCTGATATTCTCAGTGGGGGAGCTCATTATTGCAGGCACGGAGACCACGACCAATACCCTGCGCTGGGCCATGCTCTACTTGGCTCTCTATCCCAGTATACAAGGTAGGTGCACCATTTCACTATAGATCATATGTACATACTAATCACCTCTGAGAGCTGGAACAATGTTCTGAGAAGTCACGTCCACCCTTTGCTTCCCCTTTGTGCAGAGAAGGTTCACAGGGAGATTGACTCCGTTTTAAATGGCAGAGCACCAACCATGGAGGACAAGCAGAGGATGCCCTATGTGGAGGCAGTGCTGCATGAAGTGCTGCGCTTTTGCAACATCGTTCCTCTGGGCATCTTCCGGGCCACGTCTCAGGATGCAGTGGTGCGTGGCTACACCATTCCTCGGGGGACAATGGTCATCACCAACTTGTATTCGGTGCACTTCGATGAGAAGTACTGGAATGAACCTGCTGTCTTCTGCCCCGAGAGGTTTCTGGACAGCAGTGGCAACTTTGTGAGACGAGATGCCTTTGTTCCGTTTTCAGCAGGTAGGTAGTGTTTGGTCAACGTTTTTGTTGAACATTTTCATTCCAGATCTAATGTTATATCTGGAACCTACCCAACCCTATTAATCACCTTTCTTTCTTCACGGTTCTCAGGAAGACGTCATTGCCTCGGTGAGCAGCTTGCCAGAATGGAGATGTTCCTCTTCTTCACCACTTTGCTCCAAAGGTTCCATCTGCAGTTCCCTCAGGGCAGCATACCCAGCCTGAGGCCTAAACTAGGCATGACGCTGCAGCCTCTCCCCTACTCCATATGTGCTATCAGGAGACAGCAGTAAAACCTCGTCACACATTCTCTCACCTCAGGGGATCGTTTGAGAAAACTTGAGCAACTCGGCTCCCTTGCTTTGAATTCGGTCATATTTTCTGCAGAGAAAACTGATCTCTGGAGCTGGCAATGCAAAATTTTCTGAACTTGCCCTTTGTATGGTTTCACTGAACTCAAGCAGAGAGCGATAAGAGAGCTCTTGCGTACGAGGCATGGAAAAGTGTACGGAAAGCTGGATTCGTTTGAGTAAGAGGCTTGAGCACACCACGGAAAACGTGGATCACGTGTCTTTCGTAACTTAAACCAAAAAAGAAGACAAAAAGAGCAGCGCTGTGTAGCAGATCAGACACTGTGCTCTTCCATGTAAGGGAAGGCATGTTATGTCAATAATTTACAGAGTTTATCTCTACCAGTTTTACAGACCTCTTTTTCAACATTCCTCGAAATGAGTACACACGGTTCCCTCGTTTCAGCAGCAGGCCAAGCAAAAGGAGACCGGCTGACTTTCCCAGAAAGGTTTGCACACGCCGCTGAACTGGGATCACAGCCACGTATCAGCACTGAACCAACAACGGCCTGCTGGTTTATCTCGGTGGCAATCGTCTGTCAGGGCTTAGGTTATCTCCATATTTCTGGTGCTGTCATTAATATCTTTTGTATGAATGTTTCTTTGTTTCATCAGCTTTACATGCATTTATTATGCTGAGCACTGTAAAAAGCTTTCTGATATAAATATGAATAAACTGACAATAAAACTTTTTGATAGTATACAGTATGAGTTGAGTGTGTTTTAATGTGCTCCTTTGTGGTGGTCTGTGGTTTTGTCTGTTTCCTGAAATGACCCCTGCCTTCAATTTCATACATAATTCAAAAGCAAGCTGGCAGGAGTTTACACAGCTTGAGTCCTGCTGGGATTTTTTTGGCATACGGTTATTGCAATATGCAGCAAATCACTGTGAATCACTAATTTTGTTTCCAGGACCACTGGCTCACGGTGATGGTTTATTGCTTACAGCAGCAAATTTATAAACGGCTCGCACGGATGAATTTACATTACGCATTTAGCTTTGTCTTCAGAAACTGTACACCCTGTACCACTGATGAAATGGAGAGCTGGTTTAAAGGGAGGGCATATTATCTAAAGACGACATCTCGTCTCCCACTCATACACTGGGTGTTCTTCCTTTAATATCCTTTCAAGTCTAGCACTCCAGCTCAATCAGCGGCCAACCAGAATGAAAGCAACTCCACTTGGAGATGTTGAAGCAGATTGGCAGAAGGGGCAGGTTTGCTGGGTAAGCTGTCACAATAAAGCCGTCTGCAGGGATGATGTGGACAGTCCAGGGGAGACCCTGCGACTAGGGACTCTTCATCCACCCACTGTCATCCTACAGGCAACAGGATGCTTGGGATTTCCTCTGTGAGCATGAGCTAGTAAACAGTGACATGTGGCGAGAGGCGGCTTACAAACAATGTCAAAAATGTCTCACATCAGCCACGGAAAGGGAGAGGGAAGGAGGGATGTTGTGCCTGTGTCTGGAAAACGCTTAAATGGGTGAAAGATGTTGCCTTCAACCCACTGGAGAACCTCCTGTAAGGCTTGTGGAGGAAGGCTGTCTGTAATTGACAGTGACATTATGCATGCAAAGCCACACATACAGACCTGAATAACGACACTGACAAAGTTGTTTTTCAGGGATGGTGTTTTTATGACATCTATAAATAATAACGAAAAAAAAGTGAATTTTTTTCCCCCTACAACTTTGAAAAGGCTGAAACGGTTACATCAGACATTGCTATCTAAATGCTACATAAAAAGGTGACAGCTGTTCATATACGTGGTGATGACGATGGAGGGCACTGTGGCGTGCAGGAAAAGAACAAACGCGCAGTGAGGAGCCAACAGTCGGCTTTCGACAACGGTCAGAGGAAGGAAAGAAGAAAGCCGTTCCGAGTGTCCAGCAGCGTTCTGCCACGAGCCACGAAGCATGAGGGCAGGAGGGATGGAGTGGGTAGAGCCAGCTGGACTCCTGGACACAGGTGAGGATGAGCATGTCTGGAGGGGAACAATTTTGGGGGGGGGAGTGAAGAAAGCACACCTCCCACCAACCACTCCCAAAATGAAGAACACGTACTGAACGCAGGCCAAAGTGCATGACAAACAAACCAGCAGCAGGGCAGGGCAGTAGAGAGAGAGCAAGAGAGGAAGAGGCGACGAGGGGGCGCTTGGCACTGTCGCAGTGAGCTGAGTCACAGCATCCAGCTTCAGAGAGAGGAACAGAAAGAAGGGGGCTCTCAGCAAAAAGTGGTTATGAGCAGGAACACAAAGACAGTGCACCCCAAAATAATAAAAATAATAATAATAATAATAATAGCACACCCAAACATATCCACATCCGTAAATAGTATTAGATTAAAAACTCTGGAAACAAATATGATAATAACAGGTTTTCTCAATGTACAATATATGTCGGCTGTATGTAGAAAAACAGACGCATTCAGTTGATTAATTAAAAAATATATAATATAATATATATATATTTATATATATATATGCAGATACTCTTTCTGTGCAGAGATTAAACACTTGTTTGGTAGTAAAATGTGCACATTTATAGTTCTTTTTCTTTAAATATACTAGCTTGTTTTACACTGCCTACTTGAGAACTTTCCTCTCCAGACAAAGACATGATGAAGGAGAGGGGCGTGTCAGTCCCCCCCACCCCCATCTGCATACTTCCTTTTTTCTAGTGGAATGCCTAGAGTTCTTGCTTCAGACAAAAATATATAGAACTATTAGTATTAAACCTGCCTCGTGGTGAAGAATAAGAAAATATAAAAAAGTGTACAGCTTTCGAGGTGAAACCCTGGATCACTTCAAATTTATGCACTGGCCTGGTTGTGAGTTTGGCAATGGTTATGTTCAGTAAGAACGCGTGAGTCTGCAGTGTGATCAGAAGGAGAACAAAAATGAGAACCGACTATCGTGGATGTTCAAATAATGCCAAAAGTAATGCAACCCAAAAGCAAAACTTGCCCGTTACATATGGATAGCTATGTTACACTGAACAAACATTTCATCATCAAATACATTCCTGGATCCCGTTTCTTATCAAGAGACTGTTGGGGAGAAAAAAAAATTTAAAATAGACAAGACTGTTCTAGTTTCGGGGCAGCTGATACGGATAGTGGTCGCCGTGTGGGGTGACGCTCGTCGTGGAGAGCATCTTCTTTCTTCAGACTGAATTTCAAGTTCTTCAAACACAAACACACAAGAAAATGCCTTTTCCTACCCCTGAAATGAAAATTCAGACGTTCGAGCGTGTTTGAAACTGTTGACAACGACAGAACGATCTATCCACGTGAATCCTGAGTAACCGTGAAAGAATATATATGTCAAAACGTAAAAAAAAAAAAGCAACATCCCTTCATTAGAACAGCTTCCCTGTTCCGTACTCTATGCTTTCAACACAGCTGGACTTCACAAAGCAAAAAAATTCAACAATTGGCAACTCAGCATTCCTGAAGAGGAAAGAAAAAAACAATAACAAAAAAGCATTTCAAAACCCATGAGCACACACAAAAATTCAAACAAACATGACAAAGAAACTAAAAGAAAAGGCAGGTGGTACACATGAATAAAAAAGCATCCGAAAACGATGCAGGAGTAAATGTTCGTTTTTTTTTTTCTCATTCAGTCAAATGTCAGCATTTCCACGTTAAGTCCTAGTGGCTGAGTTCAGTGATACAGTGTTTCGTGTCGCCAGCATGAGGAGGGACTGCACCAGCAGTGCAGCCTGCGTAGTCCGTCTCCCAGACCACATGGGGGAAGGGAGGAAAACATGAAAAGGTTCAGACAGGCACGTTTGATTTATGCTTCTCGAGTATTCCTGACACTGAGCCTGAAATAGTCTCGGCCTCGTGTTTTTGAACTGTTCGCTTTGGTAACAAGTGACAATTATTTGAAAAGTCTTACGCTTTTCCATTCAATTTCTGAAATCTGTCTTTTTTAAATAATTATAAGTACCTACAGGAGAGTTAAGAGCTCTGCGTTCAAGGCAGCATCACAGCCAAGTAACCATGGAGGGTTTCTTTACCTCCTTTTATTTATTTTTTCTTTTATACCTCACGGCCCTCAAGTCAACGTCCTCAAAGCTGTGTTCGTCCTCCATTGATTCTCCATGGGGTCAAAGTGCATAGAAGTGGGGCTCCCACCATTTGCAGCAAGGATGCTCTCACAGTAGTAAGGCCTCTTCCAACACAACATGAACTGCGGTAACGTCAGAGTGTCGGCACAGTGACTGATTTCAGTGTGGGAGATCCAGCAGGGTCTCCCCGTGGGTGTCGATTTGGGCTGTGTGTGTCCGTGTCTGTTATGTGCATGTGTGTATGTGAGTTTCTGTGGAGGGGTGGGAGGGCCAAGAGTGAGCGCCCTTTGCTTTAGTCCCTCCCGGAGCTTCATGCCACAGCCAATCAGCTCACTCCCGCTGCTACTGACGCTCCTCCTCTTCAGCTTCCTCCTGAATGACCTGGATGTCGTCAGAGGACGAGGAGGAGGGAGGAAGGCTCGGGCTGTCAGCCTGCTGCTGCTGCTGCTGGAGCTCCTTGCTCTTCTCCTCCTCCTCCATGATATTTTTCCACTCTTTGTGGTTCTCAGTCAGGTGCTGCATGATGTTGCAGAACAGACGGCGTCGGCCCTTCCTGGATTCTGCAAAGAGAAACTCTTTATTAGTGTGTAATTAATTGAGCTTAAAGGCTCCACTACAGTTAAACTGGCTGTTTTTCGTTGCTACAGACTAATGCCAAAGTTTTGGCACCCCTGGTCAAATAAGGTCATACATCCTCTACAGCAGGGGTGTCAAACTCGAACCACTGAAGTTAAAAATATTGAAAACTGACCCAACCATTGCTTATTTAGTGAAAAAATTAAATATACTTATATGGGCAGGTAGTGTATACACACACACACACACACACACACACACATATATATATATATATATATATATATATAGATATATATATATATATATATATATATATATATGAATAAATGGCTTGAGCGTCCCCTATAGCTGTCAGTGTTGTTGTTGAGTGATAGTGTTTGTGAAAAAAACCGGTTCCAACGCTTCTTTTTGTGTATATGTGTGTGTGTGTATATATATATGCGCTGAGAATTAACCAAATTAATCGTGAAAATCGTCCAGCACTGCATGATCCTGTGTAAACGTAAACATTTGTGTACGAGTACAGTGCGTACGAGTAGAAGCAGTTTGCTGATAACTTGTACGCAAAACAGCTAATTAGTCAAATTAGACACTTTAGATATGCATTTAGAAAATAAACAAAATCATTAATCGTCTTCTGAAATTTTAAAAATGTATATTGGTGAGTAGACTGGGGTCACACAGGACCTTTGGCAGAAACTCTGTATTATATTAACCAGTGTAATACTGAAAAGACAACTGTTTAAAACACGCAGAGCTGACATGTCAGCCAACATACTCAGGTTCAGCTCCTCATCGAGCTCTTCATCATCAGTTTCAGTGTCTTCAGCCTCCTCCTCTTCCTCCTCATCTGAGCCCTCCTCGTCGATCCAGTAGCCTGGGAGCAGTCCAGCCGCATCATACGAGTTGCAGAGAGGTCCAACAATGTGTGTGATGAAGGACTCCTGAAGCTTGGCCAGCTGTGGCATAGAGCGGTCCATGAAAGGGCTTATGGGTAATCCTAGACCTGCCTCCTCATCACCCTGTAAACCAGAGAACCGAGAATTGCTTACATCAATAAGCTACGAGTGCCGATGCAAAGGAGCCGATAATAGAAAATGTTTGTGAAGCCTTTGCAATTATCTGGATTTTATGCATGTACGGCAAAAAAGCCACAGTATTAAATAAAGAATTTAATTTAACAAACGACAGAACAGTTTACAGTGGCATATATTATCGGGAAAAAACACGCTTAAACCAGCATCAACAACACTGGAAACAGTTTGTGAAAGATTATATTTATAAAACTGTTCAAACCACTTTATGAACATTAATCTCAACCAATCAGTTATTAATCAGACAGGAACAGCGGCAACAGTAAGAAGTATTACGGCCCATTCCTCTACAAACTGTTTGGTCTTGCTTGCTTCACATCACGGCATTCCAGAAGGACTGGGGTCAGGACTCAGACTTGACCACTCTAAAATATATTATTTCTTCTATTTGAGCCACTCTGTTGTGTTTGTGGTTACATGTTGCATGACCCAACCTCTTGAGTTTTAGATCAGGCGTTTTTAACCTTTTCCACCCCAAAGCCCACCTGTCTGTAACTGTAAAGCATAGCGGACCACAAAAAAAATAAAATCAACTTTTTAAAAATATTTTTTTTAAACTGAAAACCTGGGGATTAGCGCCTGAAAAGATCAGATTGTTGAATTTACTTCAAGTACAGAAACCAAAATTTGTAGTCATGTTAAAAAAACATTTGCAGAGACGTCAAAAAAGGAGAAAAAAAAAAAAGGTAGATGTGGATGTGGACAGTGATTTTTAGCTGCAGTCCATCACGTTTTCACTGCAAAAACTCTTGTGGCTCCCACAGGAGGCACTGTTTGGTCTGGAGTCTCTTTAGTTTTGAGGGTTTTAGCACCTCATTTGACATCATCCTCACTCCACTCAGTGGACTTCTGGATCAGTGTCATCACATTCAACAATAATAATAATGATCATTACATGATCTCTGCTTCTTTGTCAGTAGTTCATCAATTTGAGTTCAACTCAAATCAAACGCAGATCTTCGCTATTATTTTAAGGCTCGTCTGTCGTTTTTATCAGCAGCTCGAGCTGCAGGAACGAGGAGAGCAGTGAGAGTCTGTAAAGAGTCGCTGACAGTAAAGCACTGATGCACTGGTAGAAGAAGAGTAAAGCCGGCTCTACTGGTGAATTTCCCCCGTTTGATCATAAAATGCGTCCCACCAGCAGTGAACTCAACAGGGTTCGGTTGGAAGCGGACCGAGACCCGCGGGTTTTGCTGAACCGGCGTCTGATGCAGACCCGAGTACAGGTGGAGTGTTTACACACGCCAAAACGGAGCGAACTAAAGAAAAAAGTTTGATAGGTCTGCACCGAACAAGGTAGCAGAATCACCCCGAGGAACCTATCAGTCCCTGGCTAACTCTGCACTGCGCGCCCGCAGCTGCGTCGTCTCAAACTAATGACGTCTAATTAGACTTTTATTTATACATCTTTACCAGCCCACCATGACCTACTGTCTCCCCCTGAGTTCAGGCTCACAGACCACTAGAAGTGCTTCACGGCCCACTGGTGGTCCACGGCCCACAGGTTGAGAAACCCTGTTTTAGATCACAAATGCAAGCCCTGACAGTGGCTGCAGAATGATCTGATATAGCGTGGAATTTGTGGGTCCCTCAGTGGTTGCCAGCCCTGAGGAGCTACACCATTATACTCTCTCCATGCTTAACAGAAGGTTTTGTTGGCAGTGTATGCAGCGCTTTGTCTCTCCAAGCCTTTGTTTCCTCCACCCACAGAGCTCCACTAGTGCTACAGAACATCCAGTTGGACAAACTTAAGATGGTTCTTGGAATGTTTCTGGTAACATCTGTGGTGACTTCGCACAAATACCACCCTTGTTCATTATTTTTTATAGGGTAGACAGGGACTGTTATCAAGCGGTAGACGCCTGAAGATCCTTTGCCGTCACTCTAAGGGTCTTTATTACTTGCCAATTCAGGATCTTACAGCATACCACTGCACTGATCTTTGCAGGATGTTCACCTATAGAGGGAGCAGAAATGACACTGTATTTTGCAATTGACCAACTGATCTGCTTGACTGTAGGTTGAGCCCAGAGTCTTTGAAAAAAGTTACGAAAGGATTTCTAATGTTATAATCATCATAAACTTAGCTTGGAGATCTTGGAAATCCATTTTGACGATATCACATTTATTTTGGACAACTAATTAAAACGGTGAGATTTTTTAAATAGCAGGGCAGTTTATGACTGATTTGAAAGCGTCTCCAATTGTAGTCTTTTAAAGATCGTTTTCCTAGAGCAGGTGTCAGCAACATGCGGCTCTTTTACTGCCCTGTTCCATTTTTAGGTAAAAAAAAATATCCTCTTAAATAAAAAAAAGCTCTGCTGATCGTTCCAACACTGAACAACAATAAATGGTCTTAAACGCCGGAGTTAATAATAACTGCTAACTTGCCAACCTTCAACCCTGAAGATTGGCACACAGACTGCTGGTCACACAGCAACACAGACAACAATCTCGCCTAGATAGTAGCAAACGAAATAGCAAAGAGAAAGATTTAAAGCCAGATATTGAGAATTTGAAGACAAATTTACTGATTTGCGTTTATAATCACTCCAGCTGGTTCCCTGATATGTTTAATTTGCAATGAGAAACTGACAAACACTAAAAAGTCACGGAGATTTTCATTCACCAGCTTCTTGGAAGAATTTTCCCGTTCCACCTTAAATGGTGCAGCGGTTACATTCTGGCGCCTCAGGCACCATTTTAAGGTGGAACAGGGGAATTTGAACAAGAAGCTGGCGAATGAGAAGCGACTGCAGCCTCATAAAAAGTCAAACATTCAGAGACGTTTTACAAGAAACTGTTCTACTTTTGCGAAAAAGTTTCCTGCCTGAGATGCGAGAAAAGCGGCTATAGCTGAGCTAAAGCTTAAAGCAGAGCAAAGTAAGTCTGGATTTTCATTTATATTATATATTTAGCCTGTACTAGTACATTAGCACGTACTGAGACACTCACAGTCAAAATGGTCATCACAGACAAATGGACATTAAATGTTGTGGCTCGCAAGTTTGATTTTTAATGAAAGGGCAAAATGGCTCTTCTTCATATCTGGGTTATGATCACTGTCCTAGAGGTTCACATATGATAAGACAATGTAAAAACGTAGAGTGTGTTTTTAAATAAAACCGGATTTATATAACATCACATTGCTTGACATTTTTTACAATAGACAATAAGCATCACAATATATATATATATTTTTTTTTACCAACAAAACAGTAGCGCAACCGTGATATTTTTAAGGACCCAAATCTGTCTGTATATCATAATCAGAATTTTTTCATAACCATTTTCTAAACCTCTCTTTATCCCTTAGAATTAAACAGACTGTTTTTGCAGTCTGCATCGCACCTCATTCAAAAAGCAGTTCAAACACTCCCTATAACTTTAGTGCGAGTGGGTGGGGCTAAACTGTTTATAGGCTGAATAGCTGATATATTTTGTCACATCCAAAAACAGTAAATTCAAAAAAGAAATTGGCAGCTTAGTTTTCATATATCGACTGTGGACTGAGTGAACAGGACGTTTTGAAACTTTAACAAATGTTTACTTACTACATCAAACAGAATTATTTGTTAAAAAGTGAGGAAAATTGCTATGATATAGCTGAAATGATATGGACCAACAATTAATAAATATTTTTTTATACACTGCGTATCATAACATCCAATTCACAAATGGTTTTTTTAACAACTGTATCGCAAAAAAACTACATACCTGCTCATAAAACTCATTGACGATGCCCTCTGTCCATTTCAGGTGAAGACTGCGTTCCTTGGCTGGCCCATTGATATCTGCCAGCTTGATGCACATTTGGCAAACCAGCAACCTGTCGTTTTCATTAGTCCAGTCAATACCTGGGCTGTTCACATCACTAACCTGTTAACAAGAAGGAACACAGTTCAAATGCATCAGTTAAAACCACCGCCATACGTGTTCACCTCTGAAAGGTGACCACAGTCTCACTGCAGGTAAGCCTACTGTACCTAAAATGTGCAGACAGGGGTTAAAACTCTGGCCACGTTTGTGTTGGAGTTGAGTTCTAAATAACTAATTCTAAAGAAAAACCCTCCTGAGAGCCGACTGGCATTTTAACATGCGCTCTTCACCTTGGAATTGAACTCCGCTAGGAAGTCAAAGTGCTTCTTCAGGTCTGTGGCGAGAATGGCCTCGATAACGAGAAAGCGGAAACGCTTGAACTCAACGTGGTCCAGGTTGGACAGGAAGTTGAACTCGGGCTGTGACAAGAAAAGACTCCATGCAGCGGCAGCATGGTGGTTCTCCAGAACTGAGCGATCGTTGTACAGCACCGCCTGTCACAAAGAGGGGGAAGAGACAAAAGCCAAAAAAAACAAAAAAAAAAAATTCTAAGGTTATTTAAATAAATGAGTAGAGTTCAGTACAATAAGTTTCTCTTTGAACCACACAACAGTTTTTCAATGCTAAAAACACTTTTTGGAAACAATATTTTAATATCCACAATCAAGAAATCACATTACGTCTGTTGTCAGCTACCTGTGGGGCGTTAGTGGCTACAAGAAAGGCGTTTGTGCGACCAGGGTGATCATAGTCATGCATAGCAGCTGCTACATATAGTGCCATTAGCTCTAGGGCAGGGACATTCCAGGCCAAGCAACCATAACTGTTGTCTGAGATAGAGCAGCTTTTAGAGGAGGCGTAGGACACTCTGCCTGGGGAGATGCCGCTGTCCGAATCTGAGGAGAGGAAAAAAAGGAAATTTCTTTAAACAAAGGCTCACTTTAATGAAAATCACAAAAGAAGTGGGCCACTTTGTGGGCTCATTTATCACAACAATTTTCTTCATTAATAGAAAACAACAGTTTTAATAATTCCACTCAAACTCACCGACGACTTTTAGATTTCCATTTAAAAAATTAAATCACAGACCTTAATTTAACCCATGCAACCAAGCAAAATTTCATCTGTGCTCCAAATGTTTATTTTAGTTAGGATTTATTACCCATGAAGTTCTAAATCACATCCTAAAACACTGTGTTTAACGGCTTAGAGAATAACTGAAGTGAAATATGAACCAGGTATAAAAAAATAAAAATAAATGAAGGATTTCCAAAAAGTTTTACAGACCATTTCAAGAATTTTCTTTCTTTTTCTTTTACATGATATACACAGTTGGGATTTACACACACAAGAAATATATCAATGCTAAATTATAACTGATAACATCTTTTTAGAAATACAGACTTTGGAATGAAAATCTTTAAATACAACACAACTTTAAATCAGCTGGTTCCATGTTAATAAATGCCCATGTAAGGTTAATTTACTTGAAGATATATTTTTATGCAATATTTCATCTTTGAAATAGAATTTTGCAGTTTTTAAAATGATTTTTGCAAACATTTAGGGTTTAAGTAGTATTATTAGATATCTGTAAGACATTTAAGATGTGATTCAGAACCTACTGAGGCAAACTTTAAAAATTCATCACTAAAACCAAACTGAAGTACTGCTTTGAAATTTGTAATCTGAGTTAAATTAAGTTTTTGCTTGAATTTTTTTTCATGGAAGGCCATGATGTGACCAGACAGGCCCGGGGTGAGTTGGCTTGAAAAGAGCCTTTTGGCATACCGGTTTATGTTCCACTAGAATACTTAAAATGCCCATCTGGGCATCATCTGCACTGCAGAATCGTGTGCCAGCAAGTGAGGTCACTGGTTTCCTGTGCGATTCAACACCTCTAAAGCGTGAGCACTTCTTACTCTCCCATGTTGAGCGCCTACAGCAGCCGAGTGACTCAGACTGCACTCCATTTAGAAATTAAAAGGGCCATCAGCATTCTTAAAATAAGTCCCGAACATGCTGAGCCAGCAGCGACGGCAGCCTCTGATCTCAATCACAATGGAGGCTCTCTCTTATCGGACGCCAGTCGCTCCTGGCCACAACCACACGGAGCGGGCAGTGGCTGGGTTTGATTTATCCCCAACGGATCAGAGGTACATGGGATATAATTAGCAGAGAAACGGCTATGAATACAAATGTTTCCACCCTACTGTACAGCCCTGTGTGACGATCCATTAAAAATAATAATAATAATTTATTTTAAATGTGGTGTTTTGTCACCGTGGCACCATTGGCATGCCTGGCTTTGGCTGCGAGTGGCTGGGTACCTGTGTCACTTCCCGTCACGTGTTCGTTGTGGATCTGCTGAAAGCCTGGGATCGGCCTTGTGGTCAGGTACCACACCGCGTGGAGGACGTCTGTGGCGTGGACACGATTATGATCTAAGGAGGAAATACATTTACAGTGAGTCTCTGACTGCTAGGCCTGAGAAGAATACAGACAGCGACGTGGGCTGTCAAATACATTTCATTTGGTCTATAATTTTCAATTACGCAAATTATCATTGATGGTGCTGCCAAAGTGGATGCTCTGATGCATGGAATTTCAAAGTTTCACTTTTGACAACATTAATTTAACTCTCACAGGGAATATCACGATAGCCGTTCTCTAGAGCGCAGAAGTACGTCATGAATTCCCGGACTGGGATTTTGAAGATTTCAAACAGACCCGTGTCCTGGAACAAAGTGTACGCCACCTGAGAGACAGCCAAACAAACAAAACTTCATTAAGACAAACACAACAGGCCTTCACTGAGGCGTAAAGTCCCTGATGAGCAGAGACTATTACAGACTCAACACAAGAGCGCAGTAAAGGATCATCACCACTGTGGCTCATGAAACAATACAATGTGCCAATCACATCCTGTGAGAGGAATAATGTACTGCAATTAAACTAAAAGCGCTAGAAGGATCACCCGTGTCTTGACATGCGTTCATCTTGCTGAATAAGCCTAATTATGGTTAGGAACAGCAGAATGCAACAATTAAATGAAAGAGAAATAAGAAAGCAAGGGATTATTACTCGGGTGGATGCAGATTAACTCGTGAACCTTCTTTTAAAATGTGTTTTGGTTCAGGAACGACAGCGTGGGCTTAAGAAAATATTTGTTTGCTGCGTCAAGCCATAAATTCTCTGTGTACTAACATAGCTGAGGATTCTCCCCGTCTTCCCTCCTGTTCTTTCCATAAGATCGAATATCTGGAAGTTCCAGCTGTTGAGCTTCTCCATCAAGGCTTCGTGGTCCTCCAACAGGGGGTCCAACTTAAACTCCTGCTCACCCTGCAAAATAAACAACAGATGGTGATTTTGTATGATCTAGGATCAGTCTCTTTCCCCCTAATCCCCAGCTGAGTCATTCCAGAACACATCACTCAGCAGACCTTGGATCAGCAGGAACAGAGAAACCTCAACCATCATGCAGTCAGCGCTCAAACAGCTTCATATGGTTTAGACCCCCACCACTCTCTCCCTCAGGCTACTCCATCACCCACATGCTTGCTCAGAGACCTCACTGCTATAAATCTGGCTGCTACATTAGAACACAAAAGCATGGGAACCCTGACCATGAGGCTGCGATCCTTCCAAACTAAAATTGCTTAATTACCATGTCAGAGATTTAGTCTGCCTGTGCAACAGCTGGCTGCTTTAACAAGGACCAGACTGGCCAAAAAAGAAAAAAGAGCATTCCAGGTCATGTACAGAGAACTTCTCTATATGCTGATGTTGGAACAAAACCTCATCTCCATTTTTGTCCTTTTTCAGTTTTTGACATAATGTGAAAATGCCTGTTGTCCTTTACATTGTGTGAAAATTTCATGATGAATGGACCAAAAGAAATGACCCAAAATAACTTGGAAAAATGTCTGGTTCCACTGACTTACATTAAAAGTAAAGTAGGTTTTTTCCTTCTCCTGTAAAGTTACCATTTTGGAAATACGAGGTTTTGTTCTGACAGCAGTGATAAACACCGATCAGGCATAACATTCTGACCACCTCCTTGTTTCTACGCTCATTGTCCATTTTATCAGCTCCACTTACTATATAGGTGCACTTTGTAGTTCTACAGTTACAGACTGTAGTCCATCTGTTTCTCTGATACTTTGGTCTGGACCCCCATGGACCCTCACAGAGCAGGTACTATTTGGGTGGTGGATCATTCTCAGCACTGCAGTAACACTGACGTGGTGGTGGTGGTGTGTTAGTGTGTTGCGCTGGTCTGAGTGGATCAGACACAGCAGTGCTGCTGGAGTTTTTAAACACCTCAGTGTCACTGCTGGACTGAGAACAGTCCACCAACCAAAAATATCCAGCCAACAGTTTCCTGTGGGCAGCGTCCTGTGACCACTAATGAAGGACTAGAGGATGACCAACACAAACTGTGCAGCAGCAGATGAGCTATTGTCTCTGACTTTACATCTTCAAGGTGGACAGACAAGGTAGGAGTGTCTAATAGAGTGGACAGTGAGTGGACGCTGTGTTTAAAAACTCCAGCAGCACTGCTGTGTCTGATCCACTCAGACCAGCACAACACACACTAACACACCACCACCACGTCAGTGTTACTGCAGTGCTGAGAATGATCCACCACCCAAATAGTACCTGCTCTGTGAGGGTCCATGGGGGTCCTGACCACTGAAGAACAGGGTAAAAGGGGGCTAACAAAGTATCAGAGAAACAGATGGACTACAGTCTGTAACTGTAGAACTACAAAGTGCACCTATATAGTAAGTGGAGCTGATAAAATGGACAATGAGCGTAGAAACAAGGAGGTGGTCAGAATGTTATGCCTGATCGGTGTAAATGTTAGGAATGAAAGACCTGCCACTGCCTACATGCAGGGAGAGAACAACCAAGGGTGAAAATGTTAAACCAATTCAGTTCCTTGTAAAGGCAGCCAATAGTGCGCATGTCGACACTGTCAGACAGACAGTAATTCTGTCGTAGCCCATGGATGTAACAAGTTTGCACGGCTGAGGCATCTGGATGTGTGTTGTAGGTGCGGTGAACACAACATGGGGTGGGGATGATCTTGTTAGCAGAGGACTGAACCACAATCCAGCAACAAAAGTTTAACAAGCTGTCCTCGGACGTGTATTCTCATGATGAGATCACATCTGGCCCCGTAAGATTAAGCTGAGGTCGGCTGTATGTAATAACTAATAACTAATACCTGAGGCAGAATTGCACAAATATGCCTTATTAACCAGAAGAGAGTGCTTGCTCATTACAAAATGTTTGTCTCAGCTCAGCAAAGCTACATGAAATATACAGAGGTAAATTTGTTTTGTATTCATAAGCTGACCTCAGTGTGCAGATGGTTTCTTTTGTGTGAGAGTTTGAAGGGAAAATCATCACAGTGCCGTCGTGATTCTTGGCAGACGTTCACTCACTTTTTGTTTGATACATGACCAAAGACATCACTGGTCCATTTTTAGCATATTTGACGGTAAAGACTGCTCTTTTTCAGACCTAGAGCGTGTTGCAGCACCTTTTGACATCAAAAAATAGCCAAAGGTGACTGAACCTGCTTAAGAAAAGTACAAAACAAAGCCCTCTAGTATTTTAGCTAAACTAAAATTTGAGTACTTTAGTTAAACGTACATTTTATGCAATATCTGAGATCTGAGCAGGACTAAAATGTTAAAATTCTACTAAGATATGTTTACTGTTCCACTGAGGTTACTGTACCTCAGGCTCGAATGGGGTGTGTTCCACACTGGAGCTTTCCTCCTCCTCCTCCACCTCTTCGTCAGGCTGCCCTCGCTCTCTGGCCTTTCCAGCAGCCGCAGTGCCTTCTCCCTGAGCCTCTGCCTCCACGCTCTCCTCCCTGATAAGGCCATCCCCGCCATACTCTGCCCCCTCAGCTGAGGAAAGCCAAATACTCCGGTCATCTGATTTAATTGCTAACAGTATCGCAGGTCAACGTTAAAAGATAGGTTCATCAACTTTTCATGAATTTGCTTCGCACTTTTACAACAGGCATCATCATTAAGCTGTTGTAGAGGAATATGGATCCAGACCTATAATGAGTGAACCATGGCAGACAAAACAAGAAACCCTGAAAAGAGCCATTATAGGAGACGTTTTCCCTCAGGAGAAACTTTTAATAAAAACTAATACCGTAAAATATTTTCACATATTTTAATGTCAGAAATTGTTGTGATTCCCAGGTATTTTGACCTGTTAAAATTCTTCTGCTTTTAGATGTTGTGACAGACCTTAGAAATCAATACATTCTGTTAAAAAAGGCATCAACTTCAAAAGAAAACTTTGTTACAAACAATAATAAATTACACATATTTACCTTTTTTGCACTATATGTTCAAAAGCTATTAAAGAAAACAATTCAAATACGAGAACCTGAAATAAACTTTACCTCCCACTTTAAAGTGCTTTAACTGTTAGCTACTGTTAATTATAGTTTATCTGACCGTTAAGTTGTTTAATGTTACTGTAATAAAGTTAGACCATTAAACTGAAGAATTGTATGAAATCAACAAACGAGTATGAAAGAGCTTACTCTCAAATCTGATGAAAACCAGGGTAAACGGTTTCTTCAGGGAGACATTGCAGATGTTACCTAAGTTCTAATTGGCTCATAGAAATAAAATACTATATGGACTGGTTAAATAATGACCATGAGCTGCTGCTGTGCTGTGTTTGGGGGGATGGAGGGGATTCCCTCTGACAAACACACAAACACATAAAATCTCTTCAAGTGTAAATAAAATCTATGAATTTCAGGCAAAGGTTACATTTATAAGTAGGATATCTAAAAGTAGGACAGGGAAGACACTGAGGATATACACTGTTCTTTGTAGGAACCAGACCTGACTTGGCCACCAGACGTCCAGATCAACATTTGTCTTATAACTAGAGTGAATTTGCAATATTAGGAAAACCCTAATCCTGTTTTTGAATGGTTTGGCATGGGAAATGAGAGACTGATGTAACAGGAATGTCACAGCCAACCTGAGCGTCTCCTCTGCATATCGGTTGCTGACGGCGGGTGACTCTCGCCCGCTTCCACGCTGGACCCGCCCTTCACCATCTGCCGCCCACAACTGTCACAAACACAGCAACTGTCAATCACAGCTCAACACAGCCCTTAAAGATCCACACAGAACGCAAGATGTGAATGAAGGAGAACAGACTGGCCACCTTCCTGCAGGTTTCACCTCCAGCCAAAATATCACACACCTGACCCAGCTAATCAAGATCTTTTGAAGACCATCACTCGTTCGATCAGGTGTGGTGGATTTGCTCTGACCTAACATGCAACACATAAGGAGACCACGAAAAAGTGTCTTAGCCACCTGTGAGTGTCAGAGCGTGACGCGCCGCACCATTTTTTACGGATCCTATGTTTCTATTTTTGACATGGTAATGATGCAACCTTGTTAAAATGATTGCAGTTAGGCCAGAGGTCATTCATCAAAACACAGTAAAGGGGACTGCATGACCCTTCCTGTAAATTTCAGCAGGATATTAACTGAAATCATTTACACAAATGTAAAATACGTAGCTAAAACAACATAATCCGAAACAATGGCTTTTCATCGTAGACATGATCTCAACTGGCAGTTGAAGTCTTGAGCTATTAACCAACAGGCCTGTAGTTTGTTTACATTTTGACTTGATCTGCAGACTTAATGTTTCCCCTACAGACATCCTAAAGCAGGGGTCTTTGATTAAAATTCAATAAGGTCCAGATAGAGAAAATTTCCTCAAGCAAAGGTCCAGAACATCATAATGTCCAACCTGTATTATGATTCAGTGCCATAGACTGTTTACTGAAGTAGCCTAGTAGGTATATCAACAACTTATACAGTCAACAACTGAATATCAAATCAAATAAAGTACAGTTCAGTCATATTTCAACAACATTTATTGTCAGTTTTCTCTTTTAGAGCACGGCATGTAAAATAATCTGGCTCAATTTCTTCTCTGACTGCTGTTTCTCGCCTCGTCCCTCCCCTGTGTGTGCATCACTCACTTGAGTCTCAGTGCTCATCGTAATGCACAGATCTGATTGGCTGAGTAGCGTCATGTGTGATATTTACACTGCATGCAATTGGTCTGTGAGCATCCCGGGCCGCTAAAGCTACCGAAAAGGCTAGAAAAGTTACGGCGATTAAAACAGGACCACCCTGTGGAAATTAAATAAATCTCCATAGTTTATCAGTTATAGGTCCCGGTCTGCATAGGACAGCGTCTGGGTCCGGACTCGGACTCCACCTATTAGTGACCTCTTTCCTAAAGGCTCTGAGTTACACAATGAAATACTACATTTAAAAACACACGCTTGCTGTTAAGACAAGGTGTAAGGGTGCAAAATGAATCTAAAGGTTCTGATTCAGCTGCACAATTTTGGTAATTGACTATAATATTCTATGATGCATGTCCTAATATGTTGGACAATATATATTTTTTATTGTCTACATTCCAAGACTCTGTAAACAGACCCTTGAAATTAGAGATTTCATGCACTGAACTGTTTCATAAAGAATTCGTACTGAAGTGTTGTGAGGTCAGTGGTTTATGCCGCTAGTATAGGGTGAGGAGAAGGTGAGGGGCTGTTAGCTTGTACCTGGTGCACAGCAGGGTCGAGGCAGGGCTGCGGTACTGCTGGAAGTCCGGTGAGCTGAGCGTGTAGCCCAGCGGCTTGTGCAGGTTGACGCTGGGCTTGGTGAGGAAGTCGGCCGTGTCGGGGAACTCCACTGGCGAGCGGGTGACCAGCGTGGAGCTGGGAGCTCCGGGCGGACTGTGGCTTGGTGAACTGACAGGACTCAGGCTTGGAGATGCACCTGAGAAGAAATTTGAAGCCATTTCAATATCAGAGTAATATGAATATCTCACATACACAGATGCTTTTATCCAAAATATTCTATTAAAATGTACTATAAGTATCTATAAGACTAACATTACCATAGGGGTGGGGGTTACATAGTGTGAAACAATTATCTTGGCTTTCCCTACTGGTAAAAAAATCCTGACCTGGTCTTCTGGGGACGGTGTGACCATATGACAGTGTTACAGAGGATGATCTCTGTTTGGGGATGGTCAGCAGGTTGCTGTTGGGACCATTGGAGAAAGACCCCTGACTGCTGGAAACACTGCAGAGTAAATGAGAGAGATGACATTTACAGGGTAAGAGTTCATGTTTCACGTACGCGATTCACACAGATCACATCTGCAAGGTTTTCTCTCTAAAAATGATCAGTGTCTGATCAACACTGCCACCTTGAGGACCAACAATGAAAAAGCATAAAGAGAAAAATCAAGAAACCATACTGGACGGCTGTCTGTTTAAATTTGAAATTCAGCCTCAAAGAAAGCGTTCAAATATTCAAAAATATGGATAGAATAGTACTAAACAAATTATAGTACTAAATAAATTATATATATTTTTGGTATTATCGTGATACGGTTAAATATACTGAATATACATAAAAAGTGCTAATACACACTGAAATCACTGACTTGAGCCTTTTGTATTTCTTTATAACAGCAAAAAATGAACTACAGTTTAAATTTTGCTTTATGCCATGGTGTACGACCTTATGCCCCATCCCTAGTCAAAAATAGAGACTGTGACGTCTGGCACTGCAGCTGATGCTATATGGAGGAGGCACTGGGGGGGTCTTGTCCCCCAAGCCTTCCTCAACGGGTACAAAAGTGGCAGTGGTTTCGTGGCAGTGCTCTAAGTGTGGCATGTGTTATGATCTCCTGGGCCGGGTTTCAGAGGCTGACCTGCCACTGCTGAGCTCAGCGTGAGGCCTCTTTCCGTTACTGCGCTCCCAGCGAGGGGATGAGAGCGTCTCCAGAGGAGGCAGGGAAGAGGAGGCGGAGCTCCGTCTCAGCTGAGGAGTAGGCAGACTGTTCCTGCTGCTCAAGCCCTGAGAGAAAGGAAGAGACTGCGTTAGAAAGAGAGGGACAGAACATGCAAGTGCATGATGAAACTGGTGTTACGGACACGTTAATGAGTTGCGTCAGTTTAAGTTTGCTCCAAAACAAGCCCCCATTGATACGCACTAACTGCTCTGTGCTTGTGAGAGCCTCTCACCTTTTACAAAGAAAACTTTATGTTCACTACAGTGGCCAATCATCTGAGACTACAGATAAATAAATAACAGAATGATACTGAAGGCAAAGGGGCATCAATTCTTACCCCAAATTCGGCTGAGCCAAGACAAGTCCAGTGACTAAAGTGCACTTTCGACTAAAGTAGATAAATGGTCAATAGAACACCATACCCTACCAATTAGCACTGAGCAAGCTATGAAGATGGACTTTAGCCTATCACACAGGCCACAACAGCCATTTGATGTCAGTACTACTAGTGGAAAATAATACCTGTTCAAATTCTTATAATGGAATGAGCTTTGCCACAACATTTACGCCAGTGTGTCGCAAATAGGCTCATATAACAAAACAGACGCACAGTACAAAACACGCTAAGGTTATACGATCTAGCTGAACGGAGTCAGAGATGTTTCAGATATATATTTTTTATTTTTTAACTATATCTAAACTTTTAACACTTTACGTTTAACCCACACAGTGTGAGCTGCAGGCTTACTAAACAACAAAAAAAAATTTGTCACAATTTGTCAAGACTAGCTTCAGACTGCCAAGTCTAATTATACTGGAGTCATTCCGAGAGAACGGGGCTTAATGAATATGCTAATTTAAATATTTTTTCATGTCAATAAATCATGTCCATCATAGTTTCAATAACATATTGCTCTTACAGAGACAGATTTTTGCACTTTAATAACCGTTCTCCTTTTTTTGGTAAAAATAACCAAATTATATCCTCATAACACTGAACTTGTGAAAGAGGGTACTGTGATGGGGGATTGTGATATTTCAGGCTAAACCGCCTGTCATTAAAGTTAGACCATCCATTTTTTTTAAACAGTTAACAGTTTAACATAAGTTTTCTGTGAATATTGCAAAAAATATATACATAAAATAAGTTTCATTATCTATTTTATGTAATGGGGGAATACATTATGCATACAATGCCTTACATACCCTGTCAAAGATGCATAAAAGCGAAATTCTTTATAATTATTATTATTGTTATTATTTTACTTAATGTGACAATTATTTTTAATCACCAAGTAAGTTGGTGGAAAGTAACAGTTAAGAACTTTGAATTCATATATATATATAATATATATATAAAAGAACATTATTAGATTTTTTTCTCTAATAGGCATCAGTGTTGTGGACTCAAATGGTTCTCTTTTGATGAAATGACCCATTCATGTAAATACCTCATTTTCTCAGACAGCCTAGCTTGCTCTCCTACCTTAGGGGGTTTCCTCTCGCCCCTCTCAGAGGGGTCCTCCATCTCGGCACAGGGATAAAAGCCCGGAAACGGGGTAAAAGGGTTAACACGTGGCCGGCAGGAACCTGAGAAGGCACCCATCAGGCTGCTCACACTGCGCAGTGAGGAGAGAACGTGCGGAGAGAGAGAAGAGTCCATCAGCAGCTCCGCCACCAGGCTCCTGGCTTCATTTATTACAGAGAGGTCCACACCATTCCCAAAGGCAGCGCCCTGCAGGCACAACATGCACATCATTACTGTTTACAACATGGTAACAACTTCTGTAATGACCAAAGCGTCCACTACTGCTGTCTAGAACCTCTGCTTGGCAGTTTGGCATTCTCATCTTAAACATCATATACATATGTATACACACACACACACACACACACACACACACACACACGCACACATACACACACATACACACACATATATATATATATATATATATATACATATATATATATATAGTTGTAACTACATTTGTTAGGTCAGCAAAAACTGCCATATTTCAGAGTTTGCTCTCTGTAGAGGATGTGTTATGCGTTATACATTTAACTGGGGGTAATGCATATGACTGTGTGTGTGTGTGTGTGTGTGTGTGTGCGTGTGTGTGTGTGTGTGTGTGCATACATACACACGTGTATATATAGCGCTGTAAAAAAAATATTTGCCCCACCTGTTTTCTTCTATTTTTGCTAATTTGTCACATTTATGTTTCAGATTATCCAACTAATTTTAATATAAGATAAAGACAACATGAGTAAAATCCAGCGTTTAAATGATCATACTATTTATTGAAAATAAAGATTTTTCAAAACCTGTATCAACCGTAACTGTCTGTGCCGGCCTCGGCAGTAACAACTGCAATCAAACGTTTGCAATAACTTGCGATGAGTCTTCTACATCGCTGTGGGGGAATTCTGGCTACTACACTGTTTTAATTTGGCTATATGGGAGGGTTTTCAAGCATGAACTGCCTGTCTAAGGTCTTGTCACAGCATCTCAATGGGATTCAAGTCAGGACTTTGACTCAGTCACTTCAAAACCTTAATTTTGTTTGTTTTGGGCCATTCGGAGGTGGACATTGTTCTGCTGCATAAACCAACTGCACTTGGGCTTCTGCTGACAGGTAGACATTCTCCTTCAGGATTTTCTGATAGAGAGCAGAATTCATGGTTCCATCAGTTATGACAAGTCATCCAGGTCCTGCAGAAGCAAAGCAGCTCCAGATCGTCACACTACCACCACCATGTTTCACTGTTGGTATGATGCTCTTATGGTGGAATGTGGTGTCAGCTTTACACCAGATGTAAAGGGACCCATGTCTTCCAAAAAGTACCACCTTTGACTCATCAGTCCACAGAGCATTATCACAAAAAGTCTTGGGGATCATGTAGATGTTTTTTGGCAAATGTGACATGGGCGTATCGGCCGTTTTTTGGTCAGCAGTGGTTTGCGCCTTGTCTTGCTTATTATGGAATTGTGTACATTGACCTTAACTGGGGCAAGTGAGGCCTGCAGTTCTTTAGATGTTAGTCTGGGTTCGTTTGTGACCTCCTGGATGAGTCGTTGAGGCTCTCTTTGGGAATATTTGGTAGGTTGGCCACTCCTGGAAAGGTCCACCACTGTTCCACGTTTTCTTCATTTGTGGATAACGGCTCTCACTGTGGTTCTCTGGAGACCCGGAGCCTCAGCAATGACTGTATAACCCTTTCCATACTGATAGATTTCAATGACTTTGTTTTGCATCTGTATATGAAACCCTTTAGAACGTGGCATCATGTGCTGCTTTTTGAGACCTAGTCTGCTTCACACTGACAGACAGGTTCAATTTAAGTGATGTTTCAATTCAACATCATTATTATTTATTAATGTGTTTTATAACACCTGTCTAAACTGTATCTAGTCTCCAAAAAGTCAGAGAATACATTGAAAAACTGGATGTTTTTTTCTGCATTTAAACCTGGAAATGAATAAAAGATCAATTTAGAATTTGCAATAAAAAATAAAATAAAAATAAACAGTTATGAAAAGTAAATATTCAAGATTTTTTAAAATCTTATCCCCTTTATATTGATGTTCATGCACAGACAACTCACAGGTGGATCTGAGCTACCTAGAGGCTTTTGCACAGACTCGTCATTAAAGCAAAACAGGGACATACCAAACACTAAGAAATTCTAAAATCCATGTAAATCTTTTAAAGACTGTATATTTCACTTAAATTGTTAGGCTGATAATATAATCTGTGTTGAAAGGTTTTGTATGAAATGATAAAGGAATGCAGAACAGAAGCATTTTCACGAGTGGTCTCATGTTTTTTTACTGTATGTATAAAAAAGCAAAAATAATAAAACTTTCATTCCATATTTCGCTCATTCCACCTTCATCCATTATAACTGCTCCTTCGCTGGAAACGTCTGTTTTAAAGTTGTTTTGTTTTTGGTCATCAGGACAGACTAGGGGTCCTCTAATGTCCCCTAGTGGTGGTTTGCAGCTATGGCAGCCATTTCAGAAACAGGTCACAGGTTGGCTCATCCGCTCCGGAGAGACTTTTAAGACTAAGTAAACTGCTGTTGTTGCAGGGAATGAGTATTTCTGAAAGCAGACCACTCTCCCCACAAAGAAAAAAAACAAGAGACATTTTTTTTCTGAAATCCACTCAGAGAAACATAAGTTTAATGATATTACAGCAGAAGTGCAGATGCCTATAATCCCAGTTTGATCTAATCCATCTTCCAGCCCGTGCGTACATGCTGAGATCATTTTATTGATTGTATTAGATTCAGACGTGTGGCTTTTTGTAGCGAGTCGTGATGTAAGTAATAAAGTAGAGTGCTGGTATGGCTGCCACCTGTGTGTGTGTGTGTGTGTGTGTGTGTGCTTGCGCAGTGAAAAGCGCACAGTGAGCACTTCCTCTGCGCTCTGACGTCAGTTGGCAGGCCTTATGTAAGCGAAGCTGAGGGTAATCCACTCGGCCTTGTTGCAGTTATCAGCACAGGCCAGATGGAAGGGGCTAACGGGCCTCTGCATGCTAACAGGCTAGCTGCTAGCCTGCTCCTGTGCTGCGCAGATGAGGCCCTGCCGCTGATGCCATCAAAGGGCTTCAGGGTTTGGGGCAGGACTGTGTTTGAGCCCACAGCACACAGTGCAACAGAGCAGCCTGTCCTACCTGCATGCACCACTTACTGTAGAACACTGTGAATACCCTCAAGAACACACACAGACACAGACACACACACACACACACACACACACACACAGACACACACACAGACACAGACACACACACACACACACACACACACACACACAGACACACACACACACACACACACACACACACACACACACACAGACACACACAGACACACACACACACACAGACACACACACACACACAGACACACACACACACACACACACACACAGACACACAGACACACAGACACACACACACACACACACACACACACACACACACACCCACACAGACACACACAGACACACACACAGACACACACAGACACACACACACACACACACACACACACACACACACACACCCACACACAGACACACACACACAGACACACACACACACACAGACAGGTGCAAAAACACAACAGCACAAACATCCAGCACTTTTCCATTGTGGATATGTGGATATATATATATATAAGTTTGTAAGTTATGGCACATTTTACTCTTCAAGTGTTTTATTCATTCGTTATTATTATTATTATTATTATTTGCTCTCTGCAGAGAATGTTACCTTCTTCTTACACAGAAAATGAACAAAACATTTGACATACCAAAATACACATTTTTCTAAAATATCAAAATCAGTCCATGTAAAATATTTGTACAAAATATCTTATTTTTAATACACATACAAGAATGTTTATATACATACAAGAAATATAGAAATAAAATCTCTATATAGTAATTTTTTTAAATGTCTTTCTATTCATATACACATATGTAGACATACACACACAGATATACATTTATATATACATATATTTATATATACATATATGCATACATACACATACAAGCACACAAGATAATCCATCTGCATCCACAATGCTTTTACAAAATATATGCCATTTTAGTATATATATATATATATATATATTTATTTTATATATATTTTCCTGTGCCATTCGATATACTACCTTTGTGTCCTGATGAAGGCCTGAGTAGAGGCCCCAGTGTGTCGGCACATTTTTATACATATTGCCATGTGTCAGTAAATACCGATGTCATTTTTTATTTATTTATTTTTATTTTATTTTTTTTAAGATGGTGTGCACAGGAATTTCTTTGTTTTAGAATTTATTTTGAACATGCCTGGTGGATGCAGATGGATTATCTTGTACCTCTCCCATCACTGAATAGTTACTTTGAGTTTGCTGCCCTAGGAGAACCCGTCTTTTTCCATTTTTGCTTTTTACACACACAAAATCTGCATCTATAAATGTTTCAGTCACAGTGTCATATTATATATATATATATATATATATATATTGAACATTTTTTGCTTTTCAGCCAAGATTTTGGAAAAATTAGATTTGATGTTGAATTTTCGGTACTCAGTGGTATTTGAGTAATTTGGTTGGCATTGTACAAGTACTGAATTTCGACACCCACTTCTACTTTTAAACACAAAAAAAAAAACATGAAAAGGTCAAAGAAAAAGAAAGACATTTTAAACCCTGTATCACAGTAAAACATTTAGGGAAACGTTACATCATGAGATTATCTAAGCAAATGACCTATTTTAATCTTAAGAGCCTCGTTCAACAATCAGTGAAAATGAAGTAGCCCCTGGTGACGTAAGCGCAACGCGGTCAAACAATGAGTAAAAGTAGCGCTTGAAAGTCAGGGAGAGCAAACACACCTAAAGTACTGAGCAGAAAACCAAACACGGAATAAAAGCTGACCTGATACTGCGGCTTGTACCATTGTTTTAGGTCCCAGTCCCACAGGATCATCTGGAGGAGACAAAAAACAAAAAGGCTATTTAGAACATGGATCATTCAACAGCTGTCGCTCAAAATAAAACATGTGGAGAAGCAAGACTGTGTGGAGCTGCAGCCAAGAGCCAAAACATGTTAGAAATGATTACAGCAAATAAAATCCATACATACAAACTTAATTAGTCTGAAATAAACAAAGCAGCTTAAAGTTGAAGCTATTCTTCATCAGCAGGCAAAGTTTACTTTATTTCATAGGCTGAGCAGCCATAGCGAGTTTGGGCCTCTCGCAGAAAGGAAAACAAGAAAAAAAAAAAAAAGAGGCAAACCACTGTAACCACAATGAGACGTCAACAATGGCGCTCTCAGATCTTATCTGGCCAAACTACGTCATTTGAGTGCATTTCCACGTTATCTGTCTCGCAGAAAAGTCACCCAACAGCAGCCAAGTCCCACAACACTATCGCAGAGCTGGGCCACAGATAGGCAGCATTCAGATACATAGGATAGCGAGCTGATCCAAAGCAGCGTTTTACAGTTGTGCAAAATTCTGCTACCTAAAGACTGATAAAAAATGGTAAAATGCCAATAAAAGATAATACAGTATGTAATATATAACATTTATATATAATAAAATTGTTTATAATACAAAATAGAAAATGAGCCATCTTAAAAACAACTAAAAGGACAAGTATTAAATTTGCTCAGGATAAATTAAAGAAATTTAACTGTAAAACCTAAATTTACTTAAAACACCACAGTACCACTTTTCTTTCCCACTATGGGTTTGTTGTATCGGCTGATACTGATAATCATTTTTCCTCCCTTTAAAAATCACTAAGCTCTACAATGAGGTACTTCACTATAAACAGTCCTCTAAAAGCCCCACGCTCAAACAAACAAGACCAGCCTGGAAGAAATGCATAGTCAACATCACAGCTGTACACAAACGTTTAAACACTCCAGTCCAGTTCCTTGATTTTGTTGATTTTCAAAGTGAAAATAAGTTACACATCCTCCACAGAGAAACACTCCATTATGCCACTTTTCTGCTCATTTCTATTTAATATATTGGAAAAAAAATAAATCAACTATAAAACATGCAATAACTTTCACACAGACCACATTTTATCTTCGTTTTTTTTTGCACAATATGTTCAATTAAGCAAATAAACAGGAACTGTGCAGTAGAGGATGTGCACTTATTTTCACTTATAAATAAATAAACAAAACATGCAATTTAAGGCCAACATTTTGCATATGACTGTACATGTAAACCCACAGCTCTTTATTAATTTGAGCTCTTTTACAACAGAACAGGTATCGCAGTGCAAATGTGTACAAAATTAGACCTTTATTCCAAAAAAGGAACCAGCTACTCCACCTACGTTTTGTTATCTTTAGGTGACATGTGGCTGTTATCATGTGACCTATAGTAATATAGCAACAAACACTTCAGTGATATTTCGGGTATTTTCTGCTGCTCTGGGCTGGATGTGGAATTGGTGCCGTCTTGCAATAGTAATATTACACAGACAGTGATAATCGGACACTTTGACTGCTGCCGTGAGCTGTAAGTATGGATGGGTGAGTGGTCGCCATGTTAATCCCTGAGAGCGCAGTCTGTCTGAAAAGATGCACCGAGTTAGGCCACACGGGGGAGCACTGGTGATATACGAGACATCTCTGTGCGTAGAAGCGTGTGCTGGGAGAGGGTGCTCAGTAAGGCAGATCAGACAAAGCGGTAGTCTCCTGCACCTGTGCTGCCTGTCTGATCTGTCAATAGCAGCGGGGCACTCAGGCAGTTCCGTGCCAAACCTGTCCCAACAGCACGTCCTCTGGCTCCTCCTCGGCTTATACAGAGAGCTCTCAAACACCTGCAGATGGAGGGTGGCGAGGGAAGCGCTAGACTCTTTCCAAGAGGGCTTTCTTTCTGGGTACTGTGATCATACACCAACAAATCCAGCCCTGGACCTGTATTATACCTCATTTCTTTTAGTTGCCTAAAAGGAACCTTCAGCAGAGAGGACACATGAACACTGTCCAAACACTTGAGCTTAAAGTGGAATTAAAGCATCCTAATTAGCAAAAGCCACAACAGCATGCCAGTCTAGTGGCTAGCTAGTGTTGTTCTTCATGCGGGGCCAGACACCTCTGGTTGCTCCAAGTTCAGATGTTTCATTGATCAGGCAGAGATGATCCCTGTTTTTCATCAGCATCTGCTTAACGCCACCAGGCATTCACTATGGCAAATAAGCACTGCCATGGCAACCCGACAGAGGCCTGCAAATAATGGTACAAACACCATGGAAACCAGGATGGCGGGAGTGGGCCGGGGGAGAGATGGGTCAGGAGGAGAGGAATTGTTTACGGTAGATGACACAGTGGACACTCACAGCTCTCTCTTTTCTCGGGTCCTCGCTGACCCGCTTCAAAACGTCAGGTCTGACGAGGGGAGCAGCCACTCAGAGTGGACTCGGCCTACGGCTGATACGCGCGCCTGCCTACGTAAACACAGCAGCCACTCAGACGACATTTAGAAGTATAGGGAGGGAGACAGAACGCGGCTCGAGATGAACATACGGTTAGTTTCATCCTGCTTTTTTTACCTTCAGTGCTGAATCTACAAGGAGGGTCTCTTTGAGAAGCTGAACACTGTAATATATAAGCTGGTAAAAAAAGAAAGGAAGCTGGGTGACCAGACTTCATTCATTACATTTACAGTCAAGTACAAGTTATTCTTCTTTTTTTAAGGAGACATTTCAGAGAGATTAGATAATACGATAACGCACATGTATAAAAAAGGGGAAAGCCAAAGAACAGCTGTTTCCAAAACTGTGGGGAGCAGAGGGAAATTTTGGGGCTCCTAACAACCATGCAAGACCTGGCAGACCACCAAAACGGTCGCCATCAGATAAACAGTAATTAAAGCTTAGAGAGCGAAGAGAAAATCCAGCTCCACTTTTTCTTCAGATCTGAAACATCCACTAGTGTTTCTGTCCGTCCTTCCACTCTGAGAAGACAACTCAACGATGAACACTCCCATTAAAACGAGTCTGAGAGGATGTACAGCTTCCAAGAAACTGTTTCTAAAAAAACGGAAATGGACCAAAAATAATTAAATGAATGAAAATAAATAAATAAATAAATAAAGCAACTGTGGGGGTCTCATAACAGACTAACCAACCCAAAGTCCAGATCTCAACATCACTGAATATGTTTGAGATCACTTGGATCATGCAACCAACTTTTAAGACTGAACTTTAGAGATGTGGAAAAGATTCCCGCAGATTTCTTTAAAAAACTAAAACCAAGTCTCCCAAAAAAGATGGAAGCTGTAATAAAGGCAAAGAGTCGACTCACTAAATACTGAAAAAATTATATTTAGTCATTGCGTAATTTTCTGTTAAATATGTTTTCTACTTCTTCTCGATGCTGAAAAGTGAATAGCTTGTACTTAATGGCTATTTTGACTGGAAATTCATTAAGTAAATTAATGGGTGGTCTCTGACTTTTGCACAGCACTGTTTATACAATTTTTTCCTTTTTTTTTAGAAGGAATAAAAAATATTTTATATATTTGTTGAATATTATATAATTGTATAAATTATAATTCAATACTACAACATTCATACCATTCGTTTGTGTTAAGGTCACATTTTATCATGACTACAGTTAATGCAGGTGTAAAGGTAAAGACTGCAGGTACAGGAACAACCACTGTTTTTCAGATTCTGCACACTGAACATTTTAACCCCACTACTGCACATATTCTGAACTCACTTCATTGCTTTTCCTCAAGAATATCTGCTTATGCAATCTCACTGCACTGTGAGTGGACCTCAACACTTTATCACATCCAGAAAGGCTGCATTTTACAAACTCTTAAAATATTAAAATACAGAGCTTACATCTAGTTTGAATCATGGAAAGTGAAAATAAACATCAGCTTCAAAAAAAGAACCACACAACTAGCTTTTCTTCACTTTTCTAAAACTGGGATCGAACAGAATCACTGATTTTAAGTACTTCAGCGCAGTTAGAAGTTTACAGCTATTTGTCAGACGGAGAGCTAAAAAATACAGAATTTTTCCAGTACACTTTCCACCACTGACTAAAGCTCCGTTGTGCGTAAATGGAGGTGACATGCTGAGTGCTCTATGCAAGCCTCCCCACCTCCATTTTCTAGAAGCAGAGATACAGGCTCATGGACAGAGTGGTGGCAATCAGCTCCCATTTGTGTGCCCTTACTCCACCGACAGAATACACGGCGGCACACACCCACCCACATACAGAGTTTCAGATTTCTCCGGTTATAGCAGTACTCGGGCAAAACAGTGGACGTGTCCTGCTTTCCAGGAAAGATAAAAAGCTACGGGTATATTGTGAGAACAACAATAACTCATGAGGGTGTTTATACTTTGGCGTTCACCCGTCGGTGCTGCCTTTTAAAAAGCGAGAACGGGCAAAAACGGACGTTCAAAGAATGCGAAGGACAACAGATCGATTCGTTATTGATACAATCACCTCTGCATTGTCTGAAGACGTTTCCAGCATGAGGCTGACGTCAAATACGCAAACACAACCCAACTGATTCCACCTGCTGCACATCAATATCTTCCAATAAGCCACAACCCTCTGGATCATATTCTTGAGCCTGCGTCTCATCATACCTCTTCTCCTCCGATACATTTATTGCTAATTACTCTGGAGGCTGCTTGCATAAAGGAAGAGTTAGCAGTGATCTGGGGACGGTCACGTCAGACTGATAACAGATTTACTGCAAAAGTGAAACCAGGCAGCGACAAGAGAAACCGAAGAAAGACACTATCGATTAGTGGACTGAGCACCATACAGAGTGAATGAAGAGCATGTGGGTTTGTATGTCATGCATACAAAACAGCCTCAAGTTTGGAATCACTTGTCATATTAATAACTGCTTGAGGTTTGATCAAGTTTCAAGTGAGGCACTCTGGATGTCAATTTTATCATCACTTTATTCTTATTCATTCTGAAAT